TGCCATGGAGATGTGAGAGCACAACTTTCTGCTGCCCTCCAATGAGTGACTCCTCCAGTCCATCCTTTTGCAGAGCCCACTGAGGGTGTTTTCAACCTCTTTGTCTAATTTAATAAATCCAGGATGCTCAGCCTGCCAGCCAATCTATAAATGTAATAAAATCTGCCCACCACAGCGCTCTGGCCCTGCTGTGGCCCTATCGATAGCCTCGTGCCTGGTGGCAGGAAGCCCAAAAGGCTCATTAAAGCCCTGCTGCTGTGCCAGCCGTGCTCGCCTGGCGCCTGGGCAGCTCGGGGCAGGCTGAGCCAGCCCTGTGTGTGTGCACAGAGCATCCCCAGCTGGGGTTTGGGAGGTCTTGCCTCACCTTGCATGACTGAAAAGGTGGTAGCCAAGTGTGGGTCAGTCTCTTCTCACAGATAACAAGTGATAGGACAAGAGGAAACAGCCTTAAGTTGCTCCAGAGGAGTTTTAGATTGGATATTAGGAAAAATTTCTTTATTGAAAGAGTGGTCAAGCGTAGGAACAGGGTGCTCAGGGAAGTAGAGGAGTCACCATCCCTGGAAGTGTTCAAAAACACGTAGATGTGGTGCTTAGGGATGTGGTTTAGTGGAGGATCTGGCAGTGCTGTGGGTTAATGGTTGGAGGTGTTTCTATGATTCTGTAACTTTTCAAGGAGTTGGTGTTTTCTTCATGGCTTCCGGGTGGGAATGGTGGATGTGGCTCTGGGTTAGGCTCCCAGCACCGTGCTGGTGCTGGGAGCTGCGTGTCCAAGCTCTGTCTGTGCCCTTGCCCAAGCCATGGTTGCCCTGATGTGCCCGTGACAATGCGACAGCGAGGCCTTGCTCCCTTGTTTGCATCCTGCCTGCATCAGCTGAGCCCAGGCACTGGATGGGTGAAGCTTTTAGCAAACACAGGAGCTGCCTCTGCAGAGCACTCGGGAGTGCTGCGAGTGAGCAGCACAAGGCAGCCACCTTCATGAATATTTTAGCTGGGAGAATTAACATTTGTCAAGACACATTTATGGAGGCAGCGTGGATGTCTCTTCCCCAGGCACTGCAGGCTTGCTGCTGCTCCAGGGCAGTGCTGGGAGCCAGGGCAGAGCCTGCCAGATCCTGAGCCAGAGTGGGACAGCAGAGCTGTGATCTCCCCTGGGACAGCCAGGCCCTGGTGCCAAGGCAACCAGCCCGCCATGCAAGATAGACAAATGGTTGTGTTTTTTGGTTTTTTTTTTTCCTCTTCCCCTCCTGGTTCTTGGCAGAAAGTAAAATGTCCCTTTTGTTTGGTTTCCTCCTCCCCCTGCCCCATCGCCTTTCTTTAAAGGTTGTGTTCCAGATTTCATCAACCCACGTTGTGTAATAGCCCCGGATAACGGGCTGGGCATTGGCCCTGTCCCATGGAGGCCATGGCAGAGCCCCTCCTCGGGAGCTTGACCGTGGGGTTACCTGCTCTAAAACATCCTGTGTACAGCTCCTGAGCAAAGCTCTCTTGTATTTTGTATCAAGCTGCTATGATCCCCCTGTGTTAGAAATGACAGGAAAGTCCTTGGAAAAAAATTCAGAAATTTTAACATCAAAGTAATCCTGTTTTTCTACCTCAAATAATCCTGGTTTTCTACCTCAGCCCTGCAATGCCTTATGGAAATGAGAGACTTTGCAGATAAACCATTTTGATTTACAGCATCAGCTCCTGTACCTGGTGTGTCATCACCTGTGAAGCATCCAGCACTGTGCAGGAGGATGCAGTAATGCCCTGCTTGGGATTTCTTCCTTCAAGCTTCTAAGAGGTCCCCATTCTTCCTTTCCCTCCTTTCCACTGCTGCTACAGTTGCTGAGCTCTGCATCCATCCAAAGACCCCTGCATCTCATCCAGAGGCTGCTGATGTTGTTGATGTGGAGATCCTGGCATGACTCATGGCCTGGGCACCCGGGGAGGGAGAGGAGGAGGAGGAAGAGGAGGAGGAGAGCAAGAGTGGCTTTGTGTGTTATGGAGAGGGACACTGTGAGCACGTGTGTATGTCAATAGGGATCTGTCACTCCAGAGGAAAGCAGCAACACAATTGTTTCTTGTCTCTGGTTCCTCTGCTGGTACTGGCAGCCTGAAGAGCTGTAGCTGCTCGTGTGATGCAAGTGCTCCTTTTCCTGTACTGGTGAGGGACAGGGACTGGTCAAGTGACTGGGTTGGAGGCACCTGGTGGCACTGGTGGCCTCAAGGAGAGCTGCTGGTGGCGGCCTTAATGGTGTCCTCTGCTTCCACAGAGGTACACCCTGCTGTGCTTCCACTCCTACCCCTAGTTAAATGACACACCCAGCCACCAGATCCAGTTCTGGGGTAGCTGTGGGCTCCATCCCATCAGCAGCAGCATGGGAGAGGGCAAAGGCAGGGCCAGCGCCCGGGGACAGGGCTGTCCCTCAGCTGGGGCCTGGCGGCAGTCGGAGCTGAGGCTGAGCGTCCATTCCTGCCTCACCCAGACACGAAGCCACCCTGGGGTCTGATACTGGGTTCAGCCTTGTATCAAAGCATCTGCTCTTCCAAGGGCTGGTTGAAATCCCAGCCCTGTTGTTTTGGTGTCTCTGCCCTGCAACTGTTCTCTGCTTCTTCATTTATTTATTTATTTCCTTCCAACTGCTGGAGCCACACAGTCCTCCCCTGGCCAGGGACCAACTTTGCTCATCCTTCTCCAAGGTTCCCCAGCCTTGAGAAACCCTCCAGGCCAGAAACAGGTGCTCAGAGGTGAAGAAGGGGTCCAAGCCTTCCCTTTTTCCCTGGTGGAGTTTGTGTGCGTGCACACGATTTCCACCAGGCACCATTTGAATTTTGCTTCAGTTCAAAGTGCCTGTGCTGCCTCCAAGGAAGGAAACAAATGGTGTAAAGGAATTTACATCCCAAGCAAGCGAGGCTGCTGGTCTGTCAGGTTTCATCTGCTGCTGGGGGGTGTGGGGGGTGCAAGGGAGCAGTTGTGGGATGGAGGGTTCATCCCTGGGGCCACAGGTGGAAGAGACTCATTCCCAGCTTTGTTCCCAGCTCTTTCCTGGTGTACTGGCTCGGAGGTGCAGTGGTGGATGGAGACTCATGTGTCAGGCTGTGCAAGATGCCAGCATTCACCCTTCACAAGGAGGGCTGAGTGGCAAAACCACTTTGCAGGGCCAGCCCCCAAAACCGGCTCCTCTGCTCCCGGCACGCTTCGGTCAGGGCTGGGTGTGGGCAGCAGGAGCAGCCACCCTGCACTGCCATGGGCTTGGAGGGTGTTGGTTCTTCCTCTCCTCCTGTGCCAAATCCCTCTGGGGCTTTACAGGGAGTCAAGGGACTGAATGACCCAAGATCCCTCTGTGGGGCTCCCTCCCTCCTCCTCACCCCTGTCTTTGTTGAATTCCCTGGTGCAAAACTGCTCTGGGAGGGGAAGGAGGTTGGACCCAGACCTTACAGTCCTGGAGGCCTTGGCTGTGCCAGAGGCCAGCAAGACAAAAACTTTTCCAAGACTCCACTTGGAACAGGAGAAAGTTTTTCCGTTGGGTTTTTATAGCTCCCGGAAAGCGGGGTTTTATTTTTGTTGTCTAAGACAAAAAATCCTCTTAGGAGCTGACTACCCATGGTGGTGCAGGGCGGGAGGCTGGGCATGCGCCGTGCTGGGGGTCTGGGCTGGACTTTGCTTTCTCTCCCTCCATCCTGGGAGGTCTCTGGATGCTGATTTCCACCAGGAGAAGAGGAGGGTTTGGTATCTCTGATGTACAACTGGTCCCGTTCATGTACTCAGTGCTGCAGCACCTGTGATGGCTCCTACCACCCCTGGGCTGTCATAGGATGCTCCCACCCAGGGACACAGCTGCAGGGAAAACCTTTTTCCTTGGGAAAGGGATTATTTCCCACCACCTGCAGATGGCTAAACTGGGAGCTCTGGGAGACTGATCTGAATTTCTGGGTTTGTAGGCTGGGGCCATTGAGCTCTCTCCTGTCACCCTTTCTTTGCATGGCACAGGCTGCTTTTGGAGGGGTTTTGCTGGCAGGGGAGCTGGTTTCCGTGGTAAAAACCTTAACAGCATCTGCCAGAAATCCGTCTCCTTGTTGGCCCGGCCATCTGGAGGGCACAAGGAGGCTTTAGCAGGGCAAAGAGGTGTTCACAGGCTGGTTTAGGTCCTCCTTTGATGCTGTTGGCAGCTCGGAGGGATATCTCCCTCAGTCATTTATGTCCCAGGTGCAGGTTTGCCCTGGGATGCTGGAAGGACCCCAGTGTCACCGAGCCTGGTGGGGGCAAGCAGGCTGGGGACATGGGAGCCATGGAATTGCTCAGCAGGGAGGGCTGCAGGCACTGGGGACGGCTGGATATGCTGTAATCGGATGAGCCAGCGCTGCTCCAGATGGACCTGTCAGCTCTTGTCAGTGCTGACACCCCTCTGGATGTCCCTCAGTGTCCCCTTGGGCCACAGGGGCCACCACCTGCCCCACTTCACCAGATCTCCTTGGAGCTATCAGGCTGAGAGGTGACACTGTTCAGAAAACCCACCAAGCAAGTTCCTTCCCTAGCAAACTCTGTGTTTTTTTAAAAATTTAATGGGAAAAACTTGGTGCTTGTATCTGTCTGTTTATCCCTGAGCCATCCTGTGCTGAGGACAGTGAGACCTTGCTGCTTTGCCATCCCTGTCCCCAGGTGCCACCCCAGCAGCTACAGACCCAAAGCTGGCCACTGGGTGCCTTTCCTCGGTGTCCAGGTGCCACAACAGGGCAGCCACCCATCCCTAGATATTTGGCAGAGGAGAAGCACCTCACTGGCAGCAGTGGACCAGACTGGTGTGGCAGGAGTTGTACTGGTTGGTCTGTGTCCCCAGACGTATGGCACAGAGCTTTGCTGTGCACTGGGCATGGCACACTGATGCATCTGGTTATCTGTGGGCAAAGCATCTTGGTGTGTAGGATCCTGGTGTCCTCCAGGAGAGGTTTTAGGGCTCAGCTCTGTGCTCCTCTGCTCTTCTCTCCTTAATGTTTCTCCTTCCTCTTTTCCCTCGCAGCCGACCACCCTCCCGCAGGGCACCATCAACATGAACCAGTGCACAGATGTGGTGGATGGGGAGAGTCGGACAGGGCAGAAGTTCTCCTTGTGCATCCTGACGCCAGAGAAGGAGCATTTCATCCGGGCAGAGAACAAGGAGATCATCAGTGGGTGAGTGCAGAGCTGGGGCTGAGCCTCTCCCAGGTTCTTCCATTAGCCAGGAGGAAAAGGAAGGTGAACAGGACCGTGACCAAGGCTGGGTACTAGGCTGTGCATACCCAGGCTGATCTGGGTGCTGAGGTTCATGATGGGTGCTGTGGTGACCCCACAGTGCTTTTAGGGATCTCATCCCATTTTAGGCACCCAGCCCACTGGCGCAGGTCCCATAATTCTGGGGCTGGCATGTCCGACCCTGAGTGCCATACACCCTCTGGTTCTCATGCATCCCTGGGCAGATGTGGAATCCTGGAGTGGATGCTCCTCACCTCCCTGGTCCCAGGGGAGCATCTCACCTCCAAGGATGGTTACAATATCACAGGAATACAGTGGCTCAATGACACCGAAGATTAGACCACTAAAACAAGCAAATCATGGTAAATTTCCCAACTCCAGCTGTTGGGTGGTGACCTAGAAACATCCTCTTCCATCACTCAAATGCCAGCTGGGGTTGAAGCTGGTGCTGGTGAAGGTGCAAAGCCCTGGAGAGCTGAGTTGCCAGCATACAGTGACGGAGTGCGGCTGTACTGCTGCTCACCTTTCCCACATGGGCACTGCCCAGAGCTCAGTGCCTCCCTCCCAAAATTCGACATTTGAAATTCCAGCAGGAAGATTAAGGGATGAACACTTGCTCTTTCCCACTGTTCCCGAGGTGCAGCATCTCCTGCCTCCCCCACCCCTGGCAGCAGCAGAGTCAGCACTTCCTGCTGAGATTTCTATTTCCAAACCTTATCTTCAGTTGAGACTCCCTTTGTTCTGTAAATACTTGTTGAAATAGACTTTTTTCTACCAAGAATTTGTGATTTTGACCAGATGAGTGTTTTCACGCATTGAAATTTTCCTGCCCTACTGAGACAAGAGAGCACAGGTGAACCTTGGGTTGGCAAACCTGTCCCCCCAGCCCCATTCACAGCAACATTTTGCAGTGGCTGTGGAGCTGGAATTCAGAGCCATGTGAGAATCACAGCACAGGGGAGTGAGCTCCTCTCCTCCCTGGCAGGAGCAGTGACTGTGCCCCAAACCATGGCCAGCCCCCATGGCCTGCTCTCTCCACCCTCTCCCCACGCTCCGCTTCCCAGCTCAGCCTTTGTTGCTGGTCCTGCCTGCCGTGGGAGGGAGAGGCATTGCGGAGTGAGGTGGGGCTGATTTATTGCTCATCAGCCCAGCGATGGGTTTTGAAGCAGTGCTTTTGCTCCTGACTGCAGGCATTAATCATCCCTGAGCAGTCCCACTCTGGGGCCGAGCCAGGCTGGTTTTGTTTGCAGTTGCAGCACGACAGGAAGATTTCCCTGGCTGGGGGAGAATTCATTTTACGTTCATTCTGCACTTCTGGCGTTCATTGCTTAACCAAACCCCACTTGATGTTGTCGTCTCTGAACGCTTTACAGCAGCAGCGTGCAAAGCAGGGGGAGAAGGAAAGGGGAGCAGGGACATTTGAAGTGGGAATGTTTCCCAGTGGTCCAGGGATCCCTGTGGAGTTCTCAGAGATGCGGGGGCAGGTTGTCAGGCCACTGTGGGAGGACACAGGACTTCTCAATGCCGAGTTCATGCTGCTCTTCCTTGGACAAAAGCGCTTTGTCTGCAGTGTGCGGGTGTTGGCATCGCTCAAGGGGACGGTCCTGCTGGAGGCTCCGTCCCTCTCCACTGTCTTTCAGGATCCTTGAATCCCTGCCTCATGTCAGCCTTGGCTGTGGCCTCACTTTTGCAGAGAGCAGGGTTTGAGCCAAAGCACCCTAGGGTCATCCCTCTTCTGCCTTATTTTTCCCCCAGGAGCTGGTTGGAATGGTTTCTGGGTATTGTTCAGCAAGCTGACCCTGACCAGGTCAGCATCGCTCCTGTCCCTGTGGCACAGACCTCACCTTCTGCTTCTCTGCCTGCAGGTGGCTGGAGATGCTGATTGTCTATCCCAGGACAAACAAGCAGAATCAGAAGAAGAAGAGGAAGGTAGAGCCCCCAACTCCCCAGGTAACCCAGAGACACACACACACAGTCACCCAGTCCCTTGCCTCCCTCTCAGGGCCACAGCCTTGCTCTGGTCCTGGGGTAGATCCCCCAAAGCCATCAGGATCACTCTGATGCTGCCTGTGCAAACCAGGACAGCAGATCGGTGCAAATTAATTCCTGGTCATCACTTCCAGGGTCACACACTCCTGCTTTCCTGGCTGCTCTGGGGTCACGTTTTGCCCCCTGTGTGCTGTTTTGTGGTGCCATCCCTGTACACAATCCTGGGAGTGGCCACAAAGCCACATGGTCCCCATGGGGGACCAGGGAGAGGTGCTGTTCATGGGCCTTTTTGTCCGAAACAGGATGAAATTCCATCGGGCTCCAGTTACTCCCTTAGAGATGACCCCAGAGATAATGGGAATGAAAGGAAAATATTAAAGGCCAGGGCCAGGCTGGGAGCTCCGGGGGCCGGAGCTGGGCTCTCCAGGGACCCGGCAGTGGCTTCGTGCTCACTTTGACTATAAATGGTAAAAAGTGGGGCCAGCTGTGACTCACTCGTTCCTGCCTGGCTCCCACGTGGCTGGAATGGGGGACAATCCCACAGATGGGGAACGTGACCCCAGGGCCACCCTTGTCCCTCGCCGGGGCTGAGAACAGCCATGTCCCTGAGGCTGCCTGACCTCTGTGTGTGCGTCCCACCACCACAGGGGACCGCCTGGGAGGGCTCCTCTAGCCATGCTGGGGACCAAAACCAGCTCAGGGTCCCCCTGAGCCTTGGTCAGGGCTCCCCTGAGCCTTGGTTTTCAAGTCCTCTTTGATGAAGTTCCAAGGATGGCCCTGGTGCAAACTGGGCCATGGATGGGTTTTGTATAGTGTTTGTTGGAATAAGTTTTCATCACTCCCCTGGATAAAGATGTTCTGGGCAATGGGAAAAAAAAGATAATGGGGGGGATGATCCTTTATTGTACACCAAGCTGTAAGTCTGAGCCATCCCTTGCCAAGGTCCGGGGTCCTCACAGCCAGAACAAGCCCTCAAGTGCTGGCTCTGGTGATGCTCCAGGGAAGATGCCTCCTCCCTTCATGTTATGAGTTGTCAATCCTCAATTCCCAAGAAGAGGACTGTTGCATTTGGTGCACCCCAGGGAGTGGATGCAGCAGGGCAGGGATGCTCACCCTGGCCAGGGTACACCACTAAACCCAGGCTGGGTTCAGGAGGGGGACAGGGTGGAGATGACAAGAGGCACAGAGCCAGAAAAACATCATTCTGGGTTACATTTCATCACCATGGCAACTTCTTGGAAACCGTACAGGATCTGAGCTCCTGAACACCAAATAAGGGAAGCAGCTGTGGGAAGGATGCCGGCTCCCCATTAGCAGATGGGCTACCAGGTGCTTGGGGATGGGGACCAGGGACCCTTGTGGCACACTGCCCTCTTGTCTTGGGACAGACCACCCTGTCTTGCTTGCTACCCTCCTTCTACTCTCTCCATCCCATGGCTTCCATCCCCATGGTGCTGGAAAAAGGCTCAAATTCACTTTGCAAAACCAACCTTCACGTGGGAGCTGCTGCTGGATGGATGCTGTGCTGTGTCAGGCACTTAGGAGCAACCTGCAAAGGCAGAAGCAGCATCTTTCCTCTGTCTCCCAGATCCTGCTGATGCAGGTGGTTGGTCCAGGCAAGGAAAGAGGATGCTGAGGAGAAAATCAGCACCGAATCCTCCTCTGAAATGGCCTCTCCTGGAGCTGGCTGCTGTTCAGCTTGCTCTCCATGTGCTGGTGGAGAAAGCTTGCAGTCTTCCTAAAGATGGCCACACACTAATCAGGCAGTAGATCATGTCTTAGAGCTGCTTAGGGGAGGGGTGGACACCTTGGGATATAAAGAAAGGAATTTTATATTCTTGCTTTTTCTCACTCTCACATAGCTTTTGCTTGTCTGTGGTAGAGCAGACCTTGGTTACAGCTGGATGCTCTTGGAGCCTCAAGGTCATTTTCAACTCCCCCCATCATTTTGCATCATCCCTCTGCAAAATCACCAGGGTGGGAGCAATGCAGGGAATACCACTGCTTCTGCAGAGTTTTGGACAGGGAGTGTTAGGTGTTTTCACTTTGCTTTGCAAGCAGGTTGCAATTTTATGGGGAAAAAAGCAGGTTTCTCCTGCAGCTTTTGCCGTGCTCCAGCAGCAGGAGACTGGAATGCCTGTGCCTGTCTGCTGCCCATGGGAACTTGAGGCAGGATTTGGGGCTGAAATGTGGGATTTGAGGCTCTGCCCAGGGTTTGCACAGGGGTGTGGCAGGCTCAGGTAAGCAGAGCGTGCCCAGACACATCTCATGCAACCAGAAACAGGGTTTGCTGTTTCTGGTTCATTCTGCCTCTTGGAGCTGTTCATTCCCCTGAGCAGCAGAGAGTTAATGTCTGCTCCCTCACAGACTTCTTTTTGGCCCACATTTCTGCCTAATTAAATACATATCTACAAATAATTACATGGGGGTGTGTGTAAGAGATATATAAAGATATATATCCTGAGCTGGTGATTAGGTTTGGGCTTGGATCAATGAAGGAGAGTCTAAGGGACCTTGGAGATTGGCCCAATCCTCTGCTGGAGCAGAGTCCCCTTGAGCAGGATGCCCGTGAACTCCGGATCATTTACCTCCAACACTGCATTCCTTTAGTGTGAAATTTCCCAAGGGGATTTTTTTTCCAATTGAGGTCATTTGCTGCTTGTCATGGCTGTGTGTGGAGGCAAGACACACTCCCTGGGAGATCCCTGGTGGCTCCAGCACAGCCCTGCAAATGCCAGTGGAGGTGCAGGGCTAAAACCCACCTGATGTGGGAGGAGGGGATAGAGAGGATGCTCTTTGCAGCTCTTGTTCCCAGCTTTTAGTTGCTAGTTCGTGAATTCCTGTATTCCCCCCTGCTCCATGGAAAGGGAACAAGCAGCTGGAAAACTTCCCACAATCCAAAGGGGAGTTAATTGTCATTGATTTATGGGTGGCTTTAAGATAAATAATCTGTGAATGCAGAAGTTTAATATGACAATAGCAAAACATCTGCTAATGAACAAAGCCAAGGAAGAAGTTGGGAAAGCTGCTGCCTCTTCTGGGTCACATTCTGAACCTGGGTTGGCTGGGCTGTGGCCACCAAAGGGGCATCATCCATCATCTGATGGGCTCCAGAGCTCCTTGTTAGCAGAGAAGCACTGAAGATGATGGGGAATGTTTTAAAAGGGCGTAAAGCACGGACACATATCACTGTCCCATCCCTGTCCTGCTGTGATGTGTCATGGGCAGCACCCAAGCTATGTGGAGCTCACACCTCGGGGCCAAGCCCTTGGGGCCCCTGAGTGTGGAGTTGGGGCAGACTCCCTAACTTCCTGTGTCAACTGGTTCTTTTAGGAACCTGGTCCTGCTAAGATGGCTGTGACCAGCAGCAACATTCCCAGTGCTGAGAAGGTTCCTGCCACCAAGTCCACGCTCTGGCAGGAAGAGATGAGAGGCAAAGACCAAGCAGATGGGGGCAGTGGCATTGGCCCAGCCCAGAGCCCCATGCAAGGCCAGGCTGGGGCTGCCAGCTCCATGAAGGATCCCGTGCTGGACAGCAAGGAAGGTGAGAGATGGGGATGCCAGCACAGGTGTAGCATTGTGGTGGTCATGCCATTGTTCTCCCTAGAACAATGGGGGCTGGGGACCAATTGCAGTGCTGGAGACATTTCCCTTATCTTCTCACTCAGATGGGGGAATGTTTTCTGCAGTGAGGTGTCCCTTGAATTGCATCCGTGGAGCTGTGGTTGCTGCCAGGCTGGGAAGGACAGGGATGGAAATGGATGCAGAGCTGTAACTGCAGCTGCCCATTTCTTGGTTTGAAAATCCAGATCTTTCACCTATAGAAACCTGGCCCAAGGGTTGGATCAGAATCCCCAGTTCCCTGCAGACTGTCCTACCATCTCCATGGGCATGAGGGCTGGTCAGGGTGGAAAAGCCAAGGGTGCAGGAGGTAGCACTGCATGGGGCTAGTGCCCAGACCAGCTTTGCTCTCACACCTGCCCCTGTCCTGCGTGGAATCAGGGTGTTTCTTTCTTAAAAGCAGAACTTGGACTTGAAACCAAGCACGGTGACTTCTCTGTCCCTTAGAGGAGAGCTCCATGAACGGAGACCGGATAGACTGCGGGCGGAAGACGCGTGTCGAGAGCGGGTACTTCTCCTTGGAGAAGACCAAACAAGACTCAAAGCTGGAAGAGCAGCAACTGCCGCCCCCACCAAGCCCACCCAGCCCCAGCACCCCGAACAACAGGTACAGTTATCCCAAATCGCCCTCACAGGAGCATGCCCAGCCCTTTCCTTCCCCAGGTATCCGATCAGGCGACCGAATGATTCACAGCTTCTCTCTGAACTCCTTGGACTCGAAGAGCAGTTGCCCCATGCACAAGGACTCCAACAACAGAGATGTAGGAAGGGGAGCTGAGAAATCGGGGCGTCCCCTTTCTTTTAAAGCCAGCCGGCAGTACACCACCCTGGCCGACGTTCCCAAGGCCATTAGGATCAGTAATCGTGAGGCCTTCCAGGTGGAGAGGAAGCGGCTAGAGCGGAGAACCCGGGCTCGTAGCCCTGGGAGAGAAGAAGTGGCCCGGCTCTTTGGGAATGAGAGAAGGTAAGGGATGAGTGGCTCATCTCCTTGCATGCTTCCAGCAGCAGTGAGGTTGGGTCCCCAGCACAGTCTGCATGGAGCAGATGGAATTTGGTGGGTGGAGCTTCTTTGTTTTTCAGTGCTCCTGGGTTTAAGGGTGCCCGTCCATGCTGACCAGGTGGTGGGATGTCTTTAATAGTGGTAGTGGGCAGGTGTCACCCTGCCTGGCTGCTCTGGGGATGTAGAATGATTTGTGTTGGAAGGGATGTTGAAGTTCACCCAGTTCCATTCTCTGCCATGGCAGGAACACCTTCCACTATCCCGGGTTACTCCAAGCCCTGTCTAGCCCGGCCTTGGACACTTCCAGGGATGAGGCAGCCAGAGCTTCTCTGGGCAACGTGTGCCAGTGCCTCACCACCATCACAGGGAAGAATTTCCTCCTAGCATTTAATCTAAGCCTGCCCTGGTGCTGGGTGGTGTTGGCTGCCCACCCTGCCGGCCCCTCCCAGCGCGGCACACGCTGGCAGCCGGCACCATTAATTAGGTTAGCTCTCCTAGTGGCCTTAGTGCCAGGTGCCTTACGCAACTGCCTAATGAGCTGAGAGAGGTTTCAAAATGTCACAGCATTAATCTGAGAGAGGAGGGAGAGGTGGGTGCAGTGCCAAGGCAGGGCTCAGCGGGCTGCAAAACAGCTTAGTGTGGAGGAGGACAGGGAGGGCGTCCGCAGCGTGTGCCGGGTGCCCTCTGGGCGAGGCCAAGGATGGGCTCCACTCGCCCTGGGAGAGACACATTTGTGCAGTGAGGGCAATGGAGCAAACTGGGAGACAGGCCCTGGGCGAGAGGGCTGCCTGCCAGTCTGATTTTCCTGCCCTGGTTCTCCTCCGGGCATGTTCTCTCTCGCACAGTTTCAGTAGGAGCTTCTCCTCTGTTCCTTCCCAGCCCCTAAAGGACTGCTTTCCAGACTGGCTTCTGAGAGCTGGGAGCAGGTCTGGGATGTGCAGCACAGCCTTGTGCTGGTGCCATCATTCAGCAGGGGGATCCCAAACCTGGCCCAGAGTGTGTGCAGGGAGTGCTGGACTGGGAATAAATGAGGAAAGCTTGGGTTTGGCTTTGTCTGCCTTGGGAATTGGCTTTTTCCAGGATGGAGGAGGAGGATACCACCTTGGCCATCCTGACTGGGGACAAGGCTGAGAAAAGGCTGGCAGCTCTGGTTTTCAGGCTGAGCTGGTGCTGCCTGTGACATTGTGTCCCTGCTGCATTTGCTTGCACAGGTGTATCCTGCAGCACTGGGATCATCCTGCACAGAGCTGGGGAGCAGAATTATAGCAGATAACAGGGCCTGGGAGAGGACATTGCTGCCAGAGTCTGTCCTTTTTTAATGTCAGCCCCACTCATTGCCTGCTGGTGGATGCCTTTTCCCAGGGAAAGTCTGTTTTTTCCAGCCTGGCTCAGGCTGTTAACAGTATTTTTGCTTTATCAGTATTGGCAGCAATTCCCCTGTATCAGCCCAGGGCTTTTATCAGAGCAGAACGGGTGCAGGGAGAGGAGCAGGAGCTGCACCAGGCACTGGGGTCTTGCTGCCCATGGGGCTGAACCTGGTCCAGCTTTTGGGAGGGGGGTGATGGCAGAGAGGAGGGGGAGGGGTCCCCACCTGCCAGAGGGTTTGGCCATGGATCACAGCCCAAACTGGAGGAATGTGCCATAAGCAGGGATAGCTCAGTGGGTGTTCAGGGGTAGGCACATTTGTTTTCTCCTCTGGTAACCTGGGAACTGGCCATGCAGGTGGTATGGGTGGAGAGGCTCTGTGTCCTGGAGCTGGGACAGCCATGTTGGAGCTCAGTGGGTTCAACAGGGCACAGACACACTGTCCAAAGTTGCACCGGAGAATTAACATTCCCCAGCACCCTGCTCAGCTTGGTTTGGCTGCTTTTTGACTTGAGTTCACTTAGTCCCCATGTCCCTCTCATTTTTCTTCTCCGAGCTCAGACTGTGCTGTTTGAGGTTGGGCAGATAAAATAACTCATTTCCATGCTGTGGGGTTGGCTTTTCTCCCTGGTTTAACACCATTTGTAATAATCTTTCTCAGTAACCCACTAACATGTCTGGGAACACTTGTCCCATGCCAACCCCACAGGCACCAGCCAGGCATCATGCAGATCTGCCCTTCAGTGCAACCAAACAAACTCACTGAGATTCTGTTGGTATTTTCAGCTCTTCCTCCCATTTTTTTGTGTGTAAATCAGTGCAAGTGTCAGAGCTGTGGATGGAAAAGAATTATTTCAGGTACCCAGTGTTGCATTCTGAGTGCCACACCTGCAGGCTTTGCTCCAGATAAAGCCATTTGTTGAGGCTTCTCATCCTGTTTCCTTATCACAAGAAGTATTACATGATTTAAGTCCAGGAATTTTCTGTGTTGACCATTTGTACCTGACTTTGCCTCCATGCCCCTGCAGACGTCTGAGCTTGCAGCCACTCAGAACCAGGAATCAGGAAACAGGAGATAATCTCCACGATTTTGGCAGAGCAGCAGAGTGCGAGTTCCCTCTGCTGGCACGTGGCAGGATGGGGCTGCAGCACCCACCAGGATGTCACACCCAGGATGTCACACTGGGCCGGGGGACAGGGATTGAGGCCAGAGAGGTTGAGCCATCTTCAATCTCCCCTCTCAGACCCATCCCTAGGACAGAAGGGCAGGAGCAGCACTTTGGAAACCCCATGGATGAATCTTGAAGTGTTGCAGACAAAAATCACAGCTGAAAAGAGCTGCAGGAATGTCCTTAGGACAGCAGTCCCTATACCCCAGAGGGACTCTGCAGCTGCAGGGATAAATCCCTGCACATCTCAGGATTTCTGTTTGACAAACTTGGTTTTTTGTGCACAATTCCAGGAGTGCAGCCTGTAAAACCACAGCTTTCCCAGTTGACCTGATGTTCTCACACTGGCAAGAGTTGTGTGTCAGCCACATCTGCTGTGGGAGTGTGGTCAGGGACTGAGGTGTATTTCTAGCATAAATTAATAACAGAATTGCCTGAAATTGTTTAAAAGACTTTTCTCGCTCAAATTCCTTCTCTGGAATTTCTTGAGGTGTAAAGCTGTGCTCTGAATTCTGCTTCTCCCCATACAGAGGAGCTCCTGCTCTCCCAAATTCAGATTTTTTTCCTTGTAAAACTATCCTCATCATTCTCATGGACCTCTTGGGAAATGCCTCTTCTTTTCCTGACACTCGCTGTCTTTCTTGATGCTAAATAATGAATGAATCCAATAAAAATAAAGGCCTTTCTTCCAATCAGAGAAAATCACTTTAATGACAGCTCATCCTGGTCTTTTGAGCTTTCCTTCCCACTGCACACCCCCTCCACTAACAGCTGAGATCTGCAGCCTGGGTTTAGTGGCCTGGAAACAATTAACAGCCTGCATGGCCAAGGAATTCCTTGGGATGAGCTTTTGTAGTTGAAAAGCACTAAATGGCACCGCAGCTTTTAAAAAGCTTCTTCATACCTGTCCCAGCTTTGTTCTGTACACCCAGAGCTGCTGTGCAGAGGGAGCAGCTCTATCCAACACGTGGGGAGGGAAGGAGAGCCCTTCCTTCCCCGTCCCTCCAGGATCTCTTGCAGTAACCTCTCTGAAATGTTGATCTAATGGGAAGAAAAAAGAAAAAGATTTTTTTCCTGTAATCTGGATGATATTAACCCTTGGGGCTGTGATTTGGTTGCAGTGATTTATTTTTCTCCTCCCTTTTTCAATGATGAATGACTGGAATGATTTTGATTTTGTTTTGTATGTAGATGCAAATATATAATTTCCTCTTCTGTTCATTCATTTTCCAGCCTTGTTTTCTTCCAGGTCTTGTTGCTCTCCACCTTCTCCTGCTGTGTTGCTGTGTGACGTGTCCACCTTTACTTCGCCTGCTTCGCTACCATCTCATCTCAATCTCAAGCCGTAGAACAACCTGGTGGTGCAGCCCCTTTCATGAGAAATCAACCTGCTTTTGATTTTGTTTTTATGTTGTTTTTTTTCTTTTTTTTTGGTTGGGTTTTTGTTCTTTTTTATTTTTCCTCTTGATTTGTTTTTCTTCAGACCTTCACCTAATAGGGCACAGACAATGTTAATTCATGGACCTTTTCCTCCCTCCTGAACTGAGACTCAGAGAAGGCTGGGCCAGTATAAAAAGGGTTAAAAAAATGTGACTGCAAACAATTCCCTGTCTTGTCAGTGAACACAGAACATGGATTTATGCTCCACAGCCTGGCATGTGTCAGGCATCTCATGAGCAGAACATCCCTGGGCACCTGGGAGCTCTGCACAAGCCCAGGATCTGCCCACTCCCAGTTTGCAAACTGGGAGGCAGCAGGGCCTGAACAGATGCCCCCTAAAAGCATCAAAGATCTTTAAATTTACAAAGCAACGTCTTCCCCACCAATTTTGTCCCTTCCTCTTTGGTTGTGTCCTGGCAGCCTGGCTCTGAGCAGCAGTGGGGGCCCCTGCCCCTCAGGGGATGGGATGTGCTCAGACTGGTTGTCTCACTTATAGGATTTGATGCAAATATTGGTTGAAAACTGAACTTCTCATAGTTTTTGAACCCTTAACCTGCTGTTCCTCTTTGTGGGAAGTGTTAAAAATGTTTTTATTTTGAATAACCTGTTATCCCTCATGTGGTTGCCATTGTGATTTTCATGCACATCAGAGGCTCACACAGAGCAAGCAGCCCCAAGTTTAGATGTGGCACATGTGGGTCCAAATTTTGTGTCAAGAAACCACCTGGACAGAGCTTTTTGGGGAGGTTTGAAATGGAACTTTAGCCTCACAGCTCAGAGCACAGCTGGTATATGCTGGTGGTGGGTTGCTTTATATTCCCAGTTTGTGATTGAAGACCTGAGGCTGATCATTTCCTGAACCCCTAGAAATGCAAACTTAGACACAAGCAGGTTCTTTGGAAATTCCTCTCCTGTGGGTCAACGAGCAGCTTCTCATGCTGAAACAGCACTTCTAATTCCACCTGTTTGCTCGTCCTTAAGAGAATCCCATTTGGGTTTGATCCAGGGTTGGCTCCTGCTCCATCCACATTTCTTCATAGTTCTCCATCCTCAGAGATCCAAGTGCCATGGAGCAATGGGCCACCAAGGCAGTGTCTGAGAGCCCAGGTCGTGCCCCTGATGTCCAAACTGGATTTTCAGCCCACTTGAGAGGAGGGAAAGGCTCCAGGTTCTTCAGGGAGCACCCTGTACCTGTCATGGTACCCGGTGCTCCTCATCTCCTCATTCCCTTTCAGCTGGTGCATCCTGTGAGCCAGAACTGTGGTCTGGGGCACCTATGGACACCCCTTGCTCAGTGCAATCCTGTGGTTGTTCCCTGTGTGGGGCTGAGTTTTCAGAAGGTTCCTGTTGCAGTGAACACACTGGGGGACCCAGAGCCACCCATTACCTCTGCACCCCAACTTGGGCTGACATGTCAGTGCTCTGGGGTCTGGGGAGCAATTGAGAGCCCCATTGCTAGAGGGTAGAGGCAACGCTTAAGCCAAAGCTGGTCCACAATCCCTACTTCCCAAGGGGCTGTAAAAGTCACAAATAAAAAGTTATTGCTGGTTATTTGAGGGGGTTTCTAGTTACTGAAGGAGATGCTAGGTGCAGAGCTGAATAATGTGAGGTTTTCTCCCACTTTGTGGGTAACATGGTGTTGGATCAGAGTTTTTACCCTGGATTTGGCCATGCTGGAGCTCACAGAGAAACAGGGACCAAAAGCCAGCTGTGCATGAACAATGCTGCGACCTTAAACTTGTGGGGTTGTACAGCTCCACGCAGTTGCTGCTCTTGTGTTTTAAAGAATCCCTGGTTTCCCTTTTGTCCCTGTTTTGCAGGAGATCCCAGGTGATTGAGAAATTCGAGGCACTGGATATTGAGAACGCGGAGCACATGGAGACGAACGCGCCGGGCGGCGCTGCCCTGTCCAGCGAGACACGGCAGGGCAGGAGCGAGAAGAGGGTTTTCCCACGGAAGCGGGTGAGATGCTCAGCCAAGGAATCCTGGAAAGATGAAACCTGGAATCCTGCAGCCCTGGATAGAGGGTTTAGCTACAGGGTTTGTCTCTGAATGTGGATTTGGAGTTGCAGGCAGCTCTTGCAGGAGCTGAGCCTCTGTGTGTGCTCAGTCTGTGTGATTTTTCCTGCTCTGCTCCCTTGGGCCAGGTGTAGATTGGAGAAGAAAATCAGGTTGTCTCTTCTTTCTTCATTAATACAAAGGGAAGCTTCAGATCTGGCATGGCAGGACACATCAGGATAGGGTGAAGTAACAAAAGAAACAAGTTTGAGAGTCCCAGATATGCTTGGGTATAATGGGAACAAATTAATGCCTGAAAGGACAAAAAAATGTGTTGCCAAGGAAATTACACTTGTTCTGAGCTTGAGATGCCCCTTAAATAAAGCAGATTTTTGTGCCATGAGCCAAGAGAGCAGGACTCTGTCCTAGTTCCTGCACTGATCTGGGCTAATGCTGTTCACACAGGACTTCACTTGTGAAGGAGCAGCCGTGGGCTCCATCCTGGACGTGTCTGCGTCACCTCTGTCCCCACACCGCCGGGCAAAGTCTCTGGACAGAAGGTCCACGGAGTCCTCTATGACGGTGAGCCACCAGGGGGGTGTCCCCTGCCTTGGGGAGGACATGAGAGGCCCTTCCCAAGAGGTCCCACAAAAACTGGACTGTTGCTGCTTTCCTCCAGCCAGCACATGGGATTTGGGGTGCACTCAGACTTGGAGCAGGTTCAGGGGGCTGAATCAGGTGTGACCAGTGCTGAAAGTCTCAGGAGCTCAGCTGGAGAAGGGCCACACTTTTTGCCTGTTGCAGAAATTAAAACTCAAGAGTCTTGTGAGGAGCACTTTTCCTTAAAGTACAGCAGCACCTTGGGAAGCAGACCCTATTCTGGTTATTTTCCCCTGGAATATCCCATTTCCTTGATGCTTTGTGTGATGTGTCAGACACTCAGGCTGTAGAAGTTCTAGAAGTTCTGAGGTCACCTCACCTGGCCAGAGCCCCTCTTTGCCCCATGGTGTCCCCCAGCAGAGGCTGCAGCAGGGCGCATCCAGCTCAGCAGAGGCTGAGTCCAGTTTCTGGACTTGCACCAGCTGCTCTGTCATGACTGTGATACTTTCATAGGATCACAGAATCCCAGAATGGTTTGGGATGGAAGGGACCTCAAAGATCATCTTGTTCCAGTTCTCCTGCCAGGGGCAGGGACACAGACCAGGCTGAGCAAACACATGTCCCAGTTTTCTAATGCCATTTCCTTGATGTTTATGCAGTTGTAAGTGGGTGTGAGTGGGATGAAGGCTGCAAGGAAGGGCTGAACCTTCCCTCCTGAGCTTTCCTCCCTTTGCATATTTCAAATACTCACCAGTCCTGGAGGCAAACAGTACAGAATAAACACAAAGTACTCTCCTCTCCCTAACCACCCTTCTGTAGGGACAAAATAAATACACTTGCTAATCTCTCAAATAGATTACAGAGCTACTGTAAATACAAGTTGCATTTTTTGTGGATGGACAGCTTCTATTCAAGGACTTATCAGAAAAATGCAGTAGCTTGGTGTTTCTGGAGCTTTTCCTGTAGACTTGTACAGCCACAAGAGTGATTTTTAAATTCTTGGTGGGAATAAAAAGTGCAAGAAGTGCTTATGAAGTGGCAATGCACATTATCTAATGAAGGGAAGAAAGTCATGCAGGTTTAGATTAGATATTAGGAAGAAATTCTTCCCTGTGAGGGTGGTGAAGCATTGGCACAGGTTGCCCAGAGAAGCTGTGGCTGCCCTGTCTCTGAAGTGTTTAAAGCCAGATTGGATGGGTTTGGAGCAGTGGAAGGTGTCCCTGCCCATGGCAGGGGGTTGGAACAGGATGATTTTACTGTTCCTTCCAACCCTAAACATTCTGTAGTTCAATACTTTACTTTCCCCTGTATTTTTGTGGAGCAGGACTGGGTTCCCACCACCACAGGATCACTCAAATATGGGATGTGCTGCCCCGCAAGTTTGGCTGAATAGGCTCCCAGAGCCAGTTTCCATTGCTGCCCTTGCTGTAACCCATTTCAGATGCTGCAGCTGGATTTCACACACTGCTGTGTTTTCCTCCTCCACTCTGCAGCACGTGGAGCAGCCGGAGGAGCTCAGCCTCGGGGGAGTGAAAGCATTTCCACCACATCCTTCCCTGCACACGGGCAGGGCTGGGAGGAGGGGCTGGCAGCAGTTATCCCACGCTGTCCTGCTTGCTTTCTTCAGGAATTCAACATCTCCATGCACCCATATCAGAGAAAAAGCAGGTGTCATTTGGGTGGTGCAGGGCTTGGATTCCCTGTATTTCCAGCCTTAGGAACTCAGCCTGTTTTGAACCCTGCAGCCTTGCATCAATAGCACATAGTTTTTCTTTCATAATATATAATAGAGGGTAAAACTGCCTGAAGTCTTGCTAATTCCTTGTTTATCCTTTCTCTGCAATGCTGGTGTAGCAGTGGGAAATTGCAGGAGAAATGGTAGGAAAGGAGAAGTGAATAAAGTGTGCAGAGGTCGCCGTTCCTCCTGGGAGCAAACATTTAGCCACCACACAGTGTAATGATTCAGTTTGGGGTAGGTGATCTTTAAAGGGCCCTTCCAACCCAAACTATTATTTTATTCTATGAAATTTACTGGTTTTGGTCTCTTTCATTGCTCTGCTGCAGTTTATCAACTCGCTGCTGTTACCTTCTGGGAACAGACACTTCTTCCCTCTCCTGATCCCTCTCTCCTTTTTTCCAGCCCGACCTGCTGAACTTCAAGAAGGGCTGGTTGACAAAGCAGTATGAGGATGGGCAGGTGAGTGAGGAGAAAGCTCTGCCCTTCATGTCAGTGTTTGGTGCTGTGGTCAGTCCTGCTTCTGGCAGCTCACTCTAACATCCTGTGCTGGCTGCACATGGAGCAGCTCTTGGTGTTGATGTTGCCCAAATAGATCAGTATTGGGCTTCTCTTGAAGTGGGAATTGCTGGTTGCTCTGTCCTGGGGAGGTTTCCAAGGTGGATATCATATTGTGGGTTTCTAGGGAGCCAGGGCAGCTTGGATGGCAGCGCTGGTTTCATGTTCCTGTTCCCTATTTATTAGTCTTGTCTCCCTTGCGACCCAGCAACCTCTTTGGTGTCAGAAATGAGGCTCAGGTAAAGTCTCCTGAGTGCCAGGGAAATGGCAATAAATAAATGGTTCTGAGGGAAGCAGCTGGTGCCACTTTCCTGCTGCCAATTCCCAAAGGGATGCAGGATGTTCTGCTCTATTGGAGCCTTAGGAGTGGGCACTGATGGGCAGTGTGGATGGCCCTGGCTGTTTGCAAACCACCCCTTCCCTGCATTTCCTTCCCTCCTACTCAGCTGTCAGGGAAAATGAGGGCAATTTGCCTGTGGCTGTGGGTGGCCCAGGCTCTCCTGGGTCCAAGTACACATCCATAGACAGCCAAAGGGGAATTGGCAGCTGGAGTGAGTGCTTTATTGACTGAAAGCTGCCTTGGGTGAGCCTGTGCTGGAAGCATCCAGGAGGCAGATTTGTATAGAGCAAGGGCCAGGAATAGACTCCCAACTCAATTTCTAGGTATTGTAGATAAAACATGAATGTTTTACTAGGTTTTTGGGCCAAAAAGGCTTTAAGTGCAGTCCCTAAAAGCCTCATCTTGCAGTGGAGGGGCTGCCACTGTCCCATGGCTGTCGCCACTGTCACATGCAGCATCTGGTGCTCTGCAGGGTGGCAGCAAACCATCACTGTCCCTGGCACTGCTGCCTGTTTGGGTCTCCCCTTTCCCATGGAGGGGCCTTGATGAAGCCGTGTGTGGAGCTGGGAGGGACAGGCACTGAGCTGCCTCCTGCAGGGTGGCTTTGCCAGTCGATCTGTGACAAGCAGCCATGAATATGGTGGCGGGGAAGGAGCAGGATTGTAACTGCTCCATCTTTGTTGTTTCCTAGTGGAAGAAGCACTGGTTTGTGCTGACTGACCAGAGCCTGAGATACTACCGGGATTCAGTGGCAGAGGAGGTACGTGTCTTCTGTCAGTGTTCACCCCATTACAGGGCAGCTCCTGATGCTCCCAAACGGACTCTGGGCAAATCACTGCCTCCCTCAGTGCCCCAGTTCCCAGATGCCAAAGTCCTGGAGCCCCTTTAGGGCTTTGTGCATCTCAGGGGTTTGCTGTGCCTCCCTGTGAGCTGACCATGCTTTGGGGCTGCAAAGCTTAGTGGCTTATTTTACCTCTTCCCTCTGCAGGCAGCTGACCTGGATGGAGAAATCGATTTGTCCACATGCTATGATGTCACTGAGTACCCAGTTCAGCGGAACTACGGCTTCCAGATCCATGTAAGGAAAACGTGGGGAGGAGGAAGAGTCCACCTGCCGGACAGCTGATAGGAATGCTTGTCTGTGACAAGGGGAACATCTCCCCAAACACCCAGGAGAGGCCACTCGGCATCCCCCCACAGTGCTGCAGGGAGCTGTGGCCTTGGGTTTGAGAGCCAGTTTTCTGACTGTCAGAAAGGGGAGGGGGGAAGGGAAGGTTTTGTCACAGCCTTAGGGTCTCACCTATGGCAGGATCAGCCTGATTGCTGAGAATTGCTAATTCCCACTGGGAGTGTGCTGGGGGACAGAGGGGCTGGGTTTGACCTCTGTGTGGCCAGCAAGCAGTGCCCTAGCACTGGGGGCTTGGGGATGGGTGCAGGGTGGTCTTGGGGAGTTGGGAAGCTGCTGGTGGGTGCAATCACCTGCTCTGAGCTGTTCTTTCTCTCTGTAGACAAAGGAAGGGGAGTTCACCCTCTCTGCCATGACGTCGGGCATCCGCCGCAACTGGATCCAGACCATCATGAAACACGTTCGCCCCACAACTGCTCCTGATGTAACAAGGTATGGGGAGGCTGTAGCAGACCCCGCAGCTGTGTGGTTTGCTGTGCAGGAGTAACATCATGAGTGTCCCTCATCCCTTTTCTTTCCTCTTTCTGAGCCTGTCTGTTCCTGGAAGCTGCAGCTTTTTCTCACATCTCTTTGAGCTTAATTTGGATACATGTTGTGGGGACGCTGATATGCAGAGTTATTCTTACATCTGCAGATTTCAAAGAGGGTTGAAAATGTGGTTTTAATTTGTGCATAGGACTATGAAATACTGTTCCTATATCAAGGCTCCTCTGGATTCCCACCAGGTATTGTGAAACCACTTGGATTCAGCTGTGCTGGGTTCATCCTTTCCTCTGGCTACTGTTCAGCACTAGCTGCCTAGTCCCTCTATGGGTCACAGCAGCAGGAGCCCAGGGTTCAGTTTAGAAACTGTTTGGCTCTGATCTATTTTAAACTCCAGCCAGGAATCATCTTCCCTCCTCTTCTGATCTTCCAGAAAGCTGCTGCAGCTCGTCCCCCTTAAGCTGTAGTAATGCTGGTGTCTCCTCCTGTGTCGGTGCCAGAGGAAGGGGACCTCCTGTGTCACAGAGTACCTTCTGTGGGCACTTCTGGCTGTGTGTACAGGGTGTTTGGCCTCCTCACAGCTGTCTGTGCTGGCCACACTCACACCAGCCACCTCTTACAGACTGTGTGGACACGGCTGCACCACTGACTCCATCTCCTGTCCTTACTGTAGCTGCAGCCAGCAGGTTTTTGCCAGGTTTGTTCCTGTGTTGATGGAATGGCTCTTCTCACCTAGTGCTGTTGACCTGGAGATGCTCCAGCCTCTCTTTCTCCGTCCTGCTTAGCCCTCAGCCACTGTTTTCCCAGCCCTGCCAAGCTCTGGTGGATTTCTCAGGGAAGCCAGCTCTCTCCTCACTCGTGTGTATGTTTGATTTCCATGCAATCCCAGGAAAAACTTCTCTTTGAAACTATCCGTGCTGAAGCCCAGGTTGGAAAACTGTGTTCTCTCCTGTATTAACGTTCTGTGGTTTGTATATCTTGTGATTCACTGCATGCTCCTCCTTTTCTGCACCTCGGATGGGAAGTCCTGCAGTTTCCATTTATTTTTCTTTCTTTTCTTCCCCTGTTTCCTTTTTTTTTTTTTTTTTTCCTTTAAATAAAAGCCAGAGAGAAGGGAAGAAGCAACCTGGTCTTGACCCTTGATTTCCCCACACTGGTATCTTCCGATGTGAATAGATACGAAGATGAAGACCAAGGAAATTTGAGGGGACCTCTCTGCCTTTAAAGAGCCAGATGTATTTATGGTTGCTCACAGGTTACTGCAGCACGATAGCCCTGTGCTCACTGTCTGCACCTGCTCCAAGCCCACACAGAGTGGTTTCACTTGGCTTTCCCTCTGAGAGGGTCCAGGCGCAGGTCCCGGTTGGGCAGTAACTTGTTACACTGCACAAACAGGCCGTGAACCAGTCCTGAGCTGGGAAAAGGGAATGATGTGTGTGCTTCTGTGGTTTCCCACCTAGCTGGTGCCGTGGGTTAGTCACTGTTGGTTGCTGGAGTCCTGCTCTGTGTGTGCAGCAGGGCTGTGTTCACTGGTGCCTGCCTGGCAGCCCTTTGCAGCAGCATGGGGTATCCCAGCCCATCCCACCTGGCTTTGGGATGCACCAGGGAAGCAGCGGGTGAAGGGGGCTGCTGGAAGGACAAACTGCCCAAGGCTCAGCATGGAGGAGTGCCAGGTGTTGGCACAGTGGTGGGGTGTTGTGCTCAGTGTGCCAGGAGGGCAGCAATGCTCACCCACCCCTGAGGATGGTCCCACAAACTCCTGCAGCCCTTCGCTGTGTCTCATGAACCTGCTGCCGTGGCTGCACCCAGCCAAACACTCCTTGTCTTGGTTTCTTTAGCCCTAATGATGGTTTACATTGCTGCATGTGTCAGCACCTGGCATGGGCAGCAGATGCTGCTCTGCTCCCTGCCCTCAGCAGTGCCCTGCAATCTGCAGAGGCACTAATTAAAGTCTGCTAATGATGATGGGGCAGATAGAAAATACCCCCATGAACAAAAGTGGCTGCTTCAGAACTGGATCCATGTTGAGCTCACAGCCCTTGTGAGGCTGGGTTCCCCAGTGCACCCCAGTTCCATGCAACCTTTGTGCGCTTTTTGCCACAGCGTGCTCAGCTTGCAGCTTGCACCCACCCCTATTTAAAAAAAGACCTTTTTATTTTAACCTATAAATACCATTGGGAGGCAAAGATCACCTCACCCCCCCTTCCTGTGTGATATGAATTAATATCTCTGTGGCGAAGGAGATGTGAAATAGTGGAGTAGAATTAATAGCCGTGGGGCACTTGCAGGAGATGAAATAAGAAACTTTGGGTCAACCTTCTGAGTGTCTTCACTTCGTTCCCAGCGGTCATCCCTCTGCTCCCTGACCCACATCCCGTGCCCTTTGGAAAGCAGCAAAGGAGAAATGAGCTTGTGAGAGATGTCACCTCTAGAAATGCCAAGATTCTTCCACGTGGGATTTAGAGCAGCAAAATACCTGTGTCCCAACAGCATATGGCGGGCCCCAGGACCCCCATTTCTTTCCTAAAGCTCTTCTCCATTTTAAGACTCAGTCTCATCTCTGCTTTACTTTAAAATGCAGCTGTAATCACTAACTGACTCCAGATTGGGAGCCTGGCTTTGGAGTCGTGCAGTATCATGGGTGAGGAGCAGTGACATTTCATCATTGTGCCTTCTGGGTTTATTTTATTAGCTGCAAGTGACAACACTGAAGAAGGAATCATCTCTGAGCTGGTTTTAGCCTGTAACTGCCAGAGTCTCTTGAAACCCAGCTCCACTGAGCCTGTGGTTTGCTGCTGGATGACAGTGCATCGGAAGATACTAGCCCACACCAGAGCCATGTCTTCTGCTCCATCCTTTGTTTTGGGCATATGCACATCCATGAGGTTCTTGGCTGGGGGCTGGGCGTTGTTTCTGAGGTGGGAGAAGCTGTGATGATGCTGCTGCTGCTGCTGCTGTTCCCGATCACAGTGGTCCCATGGGTCAGAGCCTGTAGTGAAGGGCCCAGTGAGCTGCTTTCCAGCTCTTGCACAAAGCTTGTTGAGTCCCTGCTGGTGGCTGGGGATGCTTGGTTGTTTTGGAAGCAGGGAGAGCCAGGAGTCAGCCAGAGCAGCAGGACTGTGCCTTGGGAGGCAGCTTTTGGAGCTTTGGGTAGCAAAGAGAGTTCAGCAAGTGCCCACTACTCCCTTGGGACAGGCTTCCTCCACAGACTTAGCAAACTGCTGTTTTCTGTTTTAATTTTGATCTGCATGTTACAGGGCTGGCATGTCCGTATTTAATAAGCCAATACTGCATTATGGATTATCTGTAGGTTAGAAATGGTATTGCCTACCCCTATCAACTTCCCCTGCTTGATGAGTATGTCTCCCCCCTCAACCCACCACCTTCTAACTCAGCGCTAAAAATCATTCCTTGCTTGAGAAATTGGCTTTTTCAGTGATGTCCGTGATGTGTTGAGTAATGTGCTCTCCTTGCTGCACTCACCCCTGCCCATGTCAGGGGGCTGCCCAGTGCCAGGGGGGCTGCCCATGCTGCCTGTGGGGCTGGGTGCCCTGGGGAGGTCTGTGCCTTCAGTGCAGAGAGTGGCATGGAGAAGTCATGGACCCATTAATACTTTTCCAAGCTGAAGGGGAACCTTACGCTTGTCTCCCAAGACTCTCAGAGCTGCTCTGTGCTTCTCCACCCCACAGCTCCAAAGCCAGCCTGGCTTTGGTGGGATTAGTGGCATCTTTCCCACAAGCACGTGACTATGGCCATGCCAGCCACGGGGCATGCATGGAGCCCCACAGCTGGGGGGCTGGAGGAGCTGTTGGAACCTCTGACAGCACAGTCTGGGGTCGCTGCCCAGCCATGGGTTGCTGCTTGCTCATGGTCGCTGGCCCCAGTGTGGCTGCCAAGGAGGAACAAGTTTGGGATCAGCCACTCTCTGGGTGCCAGGGTGTCCCAGGAGCAGCTGGGTCCGCTTGCACCAAGGCTTTGCACACCAGCACGTCCTGGGGAAGGGCAGCAACAGCTCCTGCGCCTGAGGGGCGCGGGGAGATGGAGGGGCAGGGGGCACCCACGTGGCATTGGCTTGGGCTTCCAGCAGCCCTTTTCCACCCGGCTCTTGGAGGCATGCATGGGAGCATCTGGCTGTCTCCAGCACCCACTGACTCTTTCCTTCACCCTCTCTCTGTCCTCACAGCTCGCTGCCAGAAGAGAAAAGCAAAACAGGCTCTTCCTTCGAGACTGATCCAAAGCCGAGCGAGAAGCCGGATGCGGAACAAGCCGAGCTGGACACGGAGCAGAAGCGGAGCCGTGCCCGGGAACGCCGACGAGAAGGACGGTCCAAGACCTTTGACTGGGCTGAATTTCGCCCCATCCAGCAGGCCCTGGTGCAGGAGCGTGCAAACGCTGCAGACTCCTCCAGCAGCGGCTCGGCCGCCTTCCCCAGGGACACCGGAGCTGCCGACGCCGACCCCGGAGAGCTGGAGCGGGAGCGGGCCCGGCGGCGGGAGGAGCGGCGCAAGCGCTTCGAGATGATCGATGCCGTGGACGGGGCAGGGTCAGAAGAGGCACTGAGGATGGAGGTGGACAGGATCCTGCCTGTCCCAGCAGACATCAAACCGCAGAACGTCCACGTGGAGATCGAGCAGCGCTGGCACCAGGTGGAGACCACCCCGCTGCGGGAGGAGAAGCAGATCCCCATCACGCCGCTGCACCTCGCCCACGCTGAGGACCGGGAAGAGGGGCTGACGAAGCAGCACCTGACCACGCTGCTGGAGAAGGAGGTAAAGGGTGTGTAGGGTGCAGACTGCCTGCCAGACTGGCCTTCAGGCCACTGGGGTGACTGTAGGGAGTGTGATATAGGCTTAAAAATAGCTGTAAATGTTCCTCCTTCATGGTAGCAACTAGTAGGGATGCAGTAGGTTCCTTGAGAAGCTGGCAGGGGAAAGATATGCATCCATTCCTCTTCAGCTCTGCCAACAGCTTTCAAGTTTCCCACAGCTGCAGAAAGTGCTGTTCTCATGGCCTGGTACTTCCTTACCCCTCTCAGCCTGATTTGGTGGTTGTAGCCAGTCTGTCTCTTGACAAAATGGGTACAATCAAAGTGTATCAACCAGATGACAAATTCAAGCTCCCAATCCTCTGTGCCTCTGCAGCTATAGAGACTTGTGTCTGCATTTATAAACTGGCATGAACTGTAACACACACCACAAAGGTTCCCTTTTTGTGGAGCCTACATCAAATAGTCTTAAGATTTTTGGAAAAGAATGGGGGAGACTCAGCTCACTTGGAAGAGTTCTGCGCCTGGGATAACAAAGGTTGTCGTTAGGTGGGATTAAGGTGTATTAGTGGGAATGAAAGGGGTAACCTTTTCTTACAGAGTAATCAGGAATATCACCGAGCTGAACTGGGCTGGGATTTGCCAAGGTCGTGCCTGGCACGAGCTGGTGCCGTTCATCCTTTGCCGCAGCGAGCTTTACAAATTACACTATTGCATAAATAAGTTCTTTCAGAGGGGAGGGATTTTCCTGGCAAAATGAAATCCAGGTCTCAGAGCAGAGCAGAGCAGTGGTGCCATCAAAAGCTCCGTTAATTGTGCTCTGTGTCCCCTCCGAGCCACTTGTTCCTTATGGCTGATCCCCTGCCCACTCCCTGGACGCTGTCTCTGTTCATGTCCCTCCAGCTGGAGCAGAAGCAGAAGGAGGCCCTGGAGCTCCTGGAGCAGAACCGGTACCTGCAGGATCAGCTGAAAGTGGCTCTGGGCCGGGAGCAGAGCGCCCGGGAGGGCTACGTGTTGCAGGTAGGAGAGCAGGGAGGAGATGGAGATCCATCTTCCCTGTGCCCGAGGGATCCCTGGTGGGCTTCCATCTGCGGTGTCCGTGGGGACATCCTGGGTGGCCACCACTGAGCTCTGAGAGATTTGACCTTCTTGCAAACGTGGCTAATTCTGTAGCATTACCAGATCACCTGCTTCTGGAAACCTCTGATCTGGGATGGAATAGAAGGTAGCGTTACCTGTTAGCATTCCCAAGGGAAAACAAAAGAGCCAGACAGACGGGACTTCAGTGAAGTCCACCTCTGATCCATCCCGTACTGTGTTTGTCTTTGCAACAGCTGTTTCTCCCTTTCTATGCCTCAGATTCTCCCCTCAGTCAGCGGGGTGCACACAAGGCTTTCCAAGCATCCTATAGCCCACCAGTTGTTCCTGACTCGGGATTTTGTCTTCCCATTACACGGGCAAATGCAGGACACTCAGATGTATCTCCCACTCACATTCCCTCCAGCCAGAGTGGGATTTGCACTGGGATGACCTGTTATCTTGGGTCACTTGGGTGGTTTCTGCGGTCACAAGATTCCTCAACAAAGCCTTGAAATGAGTTTTGGAGGATCTGACAAAAGAAACAGGATGGTCTTTGGGAAAACCTTTCCTCCCCTCATACAAACAAAGCAGGTTTTTTCCAGCCCTTCCTCTGAGACCATCCATCCCTGGGGGAAGTTGTGGCACCTGCAGGGCAGCTTCTGGCTGCTCTCAGGCATCCATAGTCTTGTTCTGTGCAGGGGCAGCATTTTGACCTGCTCAAATCTATTTGACAAAACTGGCTGTGGATCAAAGTGGCCGCACATTGCCACGCTGCGCTCCCATGGCAGCAAAACCCAGTGTCCATGCCAAACCTTGCATCCTTATTTCTCACAGGAAAATTTTCCCTGAAGCACAGGCACTGGAGCCAGCCCAGGGAGGGGGACATCTTGCCTTCCTTGCCCATGATCTCCCAGGAGGAGTAATTAATTAATTTCTGGAGTCTCCAAGCTGAGTCTCAGTGCCTGCTTGGAGGAGTTCCATTTTCACTTGGCAGAGCTGGAAGAGTAACTAAGTCCCACTTCCCTGGGGCAGAGGCGTCTGACCTCCCTTTGCCTGGAGCCTGGAAAAATCAGGGAATGGGGATAAAAGCTGGATGCTTAATCCACCATCAGATTGAAGTTGGCCACAGTGCCTCAATACAAGGAGGGGTGGCAAGAGGGAAAGCCTGCAGAGAGGCTGAGTTGCAGAGAGAAGTGACCGAAACTTGGACCTGGAAGTTGGAGAGGGTTTTCAGAAAGGTCGGAGGTTTTTGCCTGCTCCAGTCTAATTGTTCTGGGGATTTCCCTTGTGTTTCCTGGGAACCAGAGGGATTAAAGTCCTGTTGTAGGAGAGAGTAACCCTACCAAACCCTGCTGGGGTGGAGAGAGTGGAGCTGCTGGGGGAATTCTGCAGCCCCAGACTGCACACAAACATCACAGCATTTTTTTGGACAACCCCTCTTAATTTCCTGTGCCCACCCCCCCTATCATGCCTGATTTTGGGGAAGTTCCTTATTGTCTATGAGGAGGGCTGATGGAGAAGCTCGACTGCTGCCAAACACATCCCTCCTGAGGTGCCTGGGAGGCACCAACCCCTCCTTGGCAGCCTGACCAGCCCCACAGGGACCCCCATGCACTGCCTGTTCTGTGAGGCAGTGCTGAGCCACCCCTCCAATGCATGTGCCATGCACCAAAGCCTCTCTGGCCTCGTATAACCCCTCTCTTGCGCTGAGCTTCCTCGGGATGGGTCACCCTAACCTTGATCCCTACTGGGAGAAACAGCAGGAGCTCCTGCTCTTGGCAAATGGGCTGGAGACATCCCCTGCTCCAGTAACTGTGGGTGGGAGGGGGCACGTACTAACCTGTCCCAGACGGATGTTCTTGCATGTTTTTGGTGTAAAGCATGAAATTTAACTTAACATAACTGAGTGTCACATCTGTGGGCTTTCCTTAATCAGCAACCAGAGTACAGCAAGGCAGGCCAAATTCCTAGGCTTAACGCTGTGCTTCTCTCACCTCTTCCTGTCTATGTTTTTTTTTTTTTAAGATACATAATTTCTGTCGCCTTTTGCATGACGCTTTCTGTGAGTTTTCTCTTTGCATGCTCCATTGCTTTGGTTTGAATCTCACAAAGGTTGGTTTCTTTCATTTTTACATTCTCATCACACCTTTTCCTTCCCTCCATTTGTCGGGCTTTTTATTTTGTCCTTTGTTGGTTTATTTTATTTTGCAGGTAGAGAAATTAGATCCTCCCTAGCCCTAAGCTTTAGCATAACAGCATCTCTCTAAAACGATGAGCAGCCACTCAGTCCTGTTTGGCAAGCACAGAAATGACATCGCCACCACAATGGCTGGCCCATCGCCCCGTGTTTGGGTGGGATGTGATGTCATTTGCTGTCACCTCACTTTCTGTTGTTGCTTTTGGTTGGTGGACTGTATTACCTGAACTGTGCACTTTTTGTTTCACAAACAAACAAAACAAACTTGTTAAAAAAAAGCAGTTCCTTTCTCCTACACCTCGTTCCATCTCCTCCTCATCATCATCCTTGGCATTTTTCTTCTGTGTGTCTGTCTCCGTTTTACTGCTGGTGTTTCTTTTTCATTATTTTTTTGTTTCTGTTTGAGTTTGGGTTTATTTTTTTTTTCCATTTAGCCTGTTACTGTACAGCTGTTTTGATGTTGTGGTCAGTGTTTTCTGTTACTGGAAAGCAGTTGTCGCTCATTAAAAAAAAAAAAAAAAGTTGGTTAAACAAACCAAATTGTGCCAAGAACAAATCATCCCAATTGGAGCAGTGGGTAGCAGCCAAGTCGCTGTGAGGAGCTTTTCCGTGGCCTGCCTGGCCAGAGGTGTGACACTCAGAAGGGAGAGCCAAGAGTGTTACTAATCTAGTATTTAATCAATTTTTTTAAGACCGAGGTGGCCGCCTCGCCATCAGGTGCCTGGCAGAGGCTCCACAAAGTCAACCAAGACCTCCAAAGCGAGTTGGAAGCCCAATGCCAGCGTCAAGAGGTGATCAATCAGCAGATTCAGTCGCTGAAGCGCAGCTACGCCGAGGCCAAGGATGTGATCCGGCACCACGAGGCCGAGATTCAGAGCCTGCAGGCGAGGCTCAGTAACGCGGCGGCTGAGCTCACCATCAAGGAGCAGACCCTGGCCAAGCTCAAGAGCGACCTGAGGAGCGAGAAGGAGAAAGCCAAAGAGCAGCTGGAGGAGTGGCAGCACGGCGAGGCCGCGCTCAGCTCCCAGCTGAAGGCCAGCGAGCAGAAGCTGAAGAGCGCGGAGGCTCTGCTGCTGGAGAAGACCCAGGAGCTGCGGGACCTGGAGATGCAGCAGGCTCTGCAGCGGGACCACCAGAAGGAAGTGCAGCGGCTCCAGGACAGGATCGCAGACCTCAGCGGGCAGCTGAATGCCAGCGAGCAGGCACGGGTCCTCATGGAGGAGAAGCTGCAGAAGAACTACGAGGCTTTGCTGGAGAGCTGCGAGAGGGAGAAGCAGGTTTTGATACGGAGCCTGAAGGAAGTGGAGGACAAGGCCAACGAGTATGAGAATCAGCTGCAGAACAGCGAGCAGCAAATGGAGATTCTGCAGAAGGAAAAGCTGAGCGCCAAGTTTGAAGGCAGCGAGCTCGTTCACCAGCTGGAGGAGCAGCTGGCCATGAAGGAGGCCAGCATCCAAAAACTTGCCGAGCACATCAAGGAGCTCGAAAGAGAGAGGGATCAGATCAAGTGCCGGTTCCATGAGCTCATGAATCAGGTGGCCGAGTCGGATAACGAAGTTGCAAAGCTACAAGCAAAGTTGAAAATGGAAGAGACCAACTACCACAATCTGGAGCAGTCATTCGAGGAGGTGTCAGATCAGTTCCGGGGTGTGCAGGAGGTCCTGAAAGAGAAAGAAGAGGAGCTGAGACATGTTAAGGAAATGCACTTGAGAATTGTGGAGAAGAAAGATCAAGATCTCAGTGAGGCTTTGGTTAAAGTGGTTGCTTTAGATAGCAGTTTAGAGGAGACTAAAGTTAAGCTAAAGGCCAAGGAGGAGGCTTTAAAGAAATTAGCTAGTGTGGGCACAGGTCCATGTGCTGAGGAGGCAGAAGACCTTGTCCCCAGTCTTGAGGCGGATGAAAGTCATCCATCCCAAATGGGGCAGGCTCTGCAAACTCAGGATGTCCACCCAACTCTGACTTACGCACTGAAGGAAGAGGAGGATGAGGTTCTTGAGACCAGTCAGAGGCAAGTGGAGGAATTTGGCTCCCCATCTAAAGTTGTAGAGCTCCAGGACCAAGAGTTGGTTCAGAAAGCTTTAGCTAAGCCTGATGTAGGAATCATGGGGGCCAAGAGGCAAAGGATTCGCTTTTCAAGCATCCAGTGTCAAAAATATATCCATCCAGACGGATCAGAGAAAAACTGGACAAGCAGTACCTCTTCAGACACAAGCCAGGACAGATCTCTGTCTGAAGAAAGCATGTCCTCAGAGCCAGCTCTGGGTTACCCCTCATCAGGGACGAGTGATTCTGAGACTTATCTCTCCATCATCCATTCCCTGGAAACCAAACTGTATATTACAGAGGAAAAGCTCAAAGATGTGACGATGAAGCTTGAAAGCCAGCACGGCCATAACCAGGAGACACTCATCGCCCTCCACCATCAGTGGGCCAGCACAGAGTCCCAGCTGCGGGAGCAGCTTCAGACCAGCTTGTCCCAAGTCAATGCTTTGATCTCACAGCTGGAGAGCGAGAGGCAGGAAAAGTTCAAGCTCATAGAAAGTCACGTCAATGAGCTGGGAGGTTTCCAGATGAAAAACGATCAAGCGCTGACTTGCTTAGAGAAGTGCAGGGAGCAGCTAAGATCCTTGCCCAAATCAGACAAGGATAAAGAGGGTGATTTGTTCCTTGTTACTCTGTCCAGCATGGAAACAACTTTATCTAACGCAATCCAAGCCTTGAGCGGAGCGCCAGTCCCGGCAGAGTATCAGCAGAGTGAAAGCCTCACCACGGACAGCCCCGCTCCAGAAGGAGGGGATTTGGAAGATGAGCACATCTCCAAGGAGCAGCCAGCAGATGTGTTTGACACTGGCCAGCTGAGGTGGCTTTCTGAGAAGGTGGCATTTGAGGCTTCTCTCATCAACCAAATAGCAGAGTCTTTGAAAAATGCAAGCTCTGAGATAGCCCAGCTTCTGAGAGAGATCCAGGGAACAGCCGAGGTGGTTTTGTTGGAGCCAGCAAGTGTTTCTCATACAGCCAATGATTTGGCCACCATCCTGTCTAAAAAGCTGCTGCTGGAAGGGGAGTTTTGGAGCCAGGTGGAGGAGCTGAGAGCGCACTTGAGCACTAGAGACGGAGATGCCGAGGGTAAAACAGAAACAACTTTGGGCATTTCCCCATGTTTTCTCAGTGCTGTAGCAGATGCTACATTGATTAAGGCAGAACTTGGGTTTGTTGCAGAGAAAATGAGAGAATCTTTTCATCAGAGGTTAAAAGCAATTGAAGAAGAGCTCCATAATACCAAAACAGCTCTCCAGCAGCACAAATGCATGTTGGAGGAGATCATCAAAGCGTACAGGACTCCTGAGTTTGACAGAGTTATGCACCACATTTCTGAAGCACTTGAAATACAAAAAGATGCTTCAGAAAGAACCCAGATCTCTTGGGATGGGAGCCATCTCCAAATGGTGCCGTGCCAGGAATTAGCCAAGGTGGAGGAGACTGGCAGTGCCCCAGACTGTAGTAGTGAAGCTCTTGTTTCCATTCAGGAAGATCTTGCCCAGCAGCTAAAGGACAAATCCAATGTTCTGAAGGAGATATCTGTTGCCTTACTCTCTCTGCCTCCCGAGGAGGCCATGAGAGACTGTCAGAAGCTCCTGAAGATGTCCCAGAGTCTTTCATACCATTCGTGCATGGGAGACCTGGAGCGGTATTCGTCTTTGTTAGTCCACGATGCCATTGTCCAGGCTCAGGTTTGTTACGCCGCTTGCAAAGTCCGTCTGGAGCACGAGAGGGAGATGAAGTCCTACAAGGAGTCCCTGCAGAGCATGGATGCACTGTGCCAGGAGCGCGTGAAGACGGTGTCTCTCCTGCGGGACGAGTACGAGGAGCTGCTCAGGAAGCAGCAGGGCGAGTACAGCGAGGTGATCGCCGTGCTGGAGAGGGAGAACGCTGACCTCAAGGCAAAAGTGTCCCAGCTGGACAACCAGCGGAGGCTCTTGGAGGAGGAAGGGCACGAGCACAGCAAGAGCTTGAGCGAGCTGCAGGGCCGGTACGAGGAGGAGATCCGAAATGTGATCGAGCAGCTCAACAGGACAGAGGATGCCCTGAAGGCTGAGAGGGTGGAGGGGCTCAACCAGCTGGATGCTGTTGTCCGTGACAAGCAGAACATGGAGCAGTATCACCTGGAGCAGATGCAGACACTGGAGGAGAAGTTCCAGGCCAAGATCAAGGAGCTGCAGGTCATCCACGGCGAGGAGCTGCAGGCACTGCAGGACCACTACAGCCAGAACCTGCAGCGCCTGCAAGAGACCCTCGATGAGTACCAGAGGCAGCACCCAGAGGCGTCCCCCGCAGTGGCCCCGGGCGCTGGGGACACCTGGGCAGCCGGTGAGGCGGGTGGCACCGGGCAGGACCCCGGCAGCGACCCGGACTCCATGCATGGCCTGAGGGAACGCATCCAGGAGCTGGAGGCCCAGATGAACGTCATGAGGGATGAGCTGGAGAACAAACATCTGGAGGGGAACGCTTCCACTTTGAGGGAAAAATACCAGAAAGACTTTGAAAACCTAAAGGTCTCGATATGTTTAACATTTTCTGCCTTCTGCTGCTGCGCGTGTGGGAGGGCATGTGCAGTCCCAGAGTTCGCTTGCCAATCCAAGGGACATCCCCTGAAACAAACCCGAGGGTATTAGCCAGGCCTCTGTAAAGCATGGTGTTTCCTTTTTCTCCATGCTGGGGTATTCTAAATGCATTGCTGAGGGTTTGGGAAGGTGGATTTCTGGAGGTGGTCTTTGCCTGGAGAGGGAGAGTTTCAAAGTAGCTTGATAACATCGTGCTCTCCTTCAACATGAAGACTTCAGTGTTTCTCCTTGTACCCAACACATTTTGTTTGTGACTTCCCTTTAAAAGCATTCCTCAGCTCTGTCTTTCCCAGTCTGATCCAATCTCCAGTCTGTCTCTGCTGCCTTCAAAAATGCAGGATGAAATGGAAACTTGATGCTCTCAAAATGTATGTTCCTAGGGAAAGTAACTGCAAACAGATACCAAGTTCTGTAGCAAAGCAGAGCTCCTCTGCAGGAGACTGCATGGACCATGCTGGTGTTGGACACCATAATTCTGTACACAACAAAGAGTGCACAGTTATGGAACACACAGGTGAGGTGCAGAGAAGCCCACTGGCAATGAAATGCCACCGTTCAAATTGCCCCACCAGTCAGACTGGCTGTAAAACTGGTTTGAGATCATCCAGCACCTAAAAAAAAAAGGGTTTGGTGGTTTGCTTTTCCTAGGAGAGCATTTCCAGTTTGGAAGTGAGTTTAGGGTTGTAGAGGACTCTGGTAGCACAAGGGGAGGCTGCCAGGTTGAACAGGAAGCAGAAAGGGCAGCGAAGCAGAGGCTGTGCCAGTGAGTCTTTCACAGACCAGTTGTTCTTAAGAATCAGCAAAAATGTGGGAGAGCTTGCTTCCAGCCACAAGATCCAGCACACATTTGAGCTGGGGGTGAAGTGTGGCTCAGCTCCAGCCAAAAACCAGTTTTATCCTGGAGAGAGCAGTAGTTCTGCTGAATCCCATTGGAATTAAGCAGCGGTGGTCAGAAAGCAAACCAAGCAATTGGAAACCTGCCCAAACTAGAGGCTTGAATGTGCTCCATTCTTCTCCTAAGAACCTGATGGAGAATGTAATATTAGTAGCACCAGTAACATCAGTAGAAGTGTAACTCTTCAACCTGGAGAAGAGAACGCTCCAGGAAGACCTTGGAGCCCTTTCCAGTGCCTAGAGGGGCTCCAAGAGAGCTGGAAGGGACTTCTGACAAAGGCATGAAGTGGCAGGACAAAGGGGAATGGCCTTCAGATGAAGGAGGGTAGATTTAGATTTAATATTAGGAAGGAATTCTTCCCTGTGAAGGTGGTGAGGCCCTGGCACAGGCGGCCCCGAGAAGCTGTGGCTGCTCCATCCCTGGAAGTGTCCAAGGCCAGGTTCAAGGCTTGGAGCAACCTGGGATAGTGGAAGGTGTCCCTGCCCATGGCAGGAGGTCCTTTCCAACCCAAATAATTCTGTGGTTCTATGAGATACTGATTTGTACGTGTGGATTTATGGCAATGCATTTACAATACATTAAGTAGTGAATCTACAGCCAGACCTATGGCAGAGTATGCACATTTTTCTTCCAAAATTAGAGGTGTTTTAGGAGTTGGACTTGATTCTTGTGCATCCCTTCCAACTCGGCATATTCTATGATTCTGGGTGTAATGAAGAATCCTGCAGGGCTGCTCTGTGCCACAGCCAAGTCCAGGCAGATTCTGGTACTGAGTTAGGAGTCTAAACAAACAAACAAGGCTGGGAAAGTGAAGAATGCCTTGGGATTAAAAATTAAATGGGAGGGAAAAAAAACCACCAAATCTAAAATTGGGAATGAGGATTAGGTGTAGGTAGCAGAGCATTAGCCAAGAAGGTGATGCTGAGGGGGTGTATGTTACTGAGGGTCAGTGGTGTTGGACTGTCCTGAGCACTTTTGCCACTGGGGGAGTGAATTTGTCCCTTCTAAAATTTCCCATGGGGTCCCAGAGGTGGCAGTTCTCACTTTCCATGGAAAACACGGTGTTAATCAAGGGGAGCTCAGCTGAAATCAGGGAATAAAGCCAGCCTGTGTCATTAAGGGGAAAAGCCCTTTAGAGTGCTTGGCATCAGGTTTGTCCCATGCTGCCTGATGGGGCTCAGCACCTTATCCCCAGTGTGTGCCCCTTCTTCCCTTGTGGCTTGGGCCTGCCTCTGGCTTTGCTGGTCCTGTCCGTGTCCTGCAGCCGTGTGTCCATCTAGGATCCTGATATGCTTAGGCTGGCAGCTGAGCTGGGAACAGAAGGACCCAGGCAGGAATTCAGGACCTCACCCCTGGTGAATCCCAACTCCCCAAATTGCTCCTCCTGTGTCCTGGCCCAAGTTCTTTCCTAGTTATTCAATTAGCAAGTAATTTTCCCTGAAGCATTTGTAGCAATACTCAGTTGGGAATTAAGATCCTGTTGCTGTCACATCATCTTCCTTCCACCCAGAGGCTGAATAAAACAGGCATTGAAAAGAGCAGAAGGGGCACAGAAGGTTTTTTTTTTGGTTGTTTTTTTGACATATATTTGCATTCCCCAACTGGGTCTGCCCCTGTGCATCCTTTTCCCTGGAGCTGTCAGGGATCAAGTGACTGCAGGACAAGCCCTGACCATTGCAAGGTCCATCGTGCTCCATGGCTGGGCAAGCAGAAGATCCCTGCTGGACCTGGGGAGCTGAGCTGCCCGCTGGTGTGTGGCTCCTGGTGGGCTCCCCACCACCATGGCACCAGCCCTGTGCTCCTGGGACAACCCTTTCCCCTCCTCCCTTTGCAGGCAACATGTGAGAGGGGCTTTGCAGCCATGGAGGAGACGCACCAGAAGAAGATCGAGGACCTGCAGCGGCAGCACCAGCGGGAGCTGGAGAAGCTGCGGGAGGAGAAGGATCGCCTGCTGGCAGAGGAAACGGCTGCCACCATCTCAGGTGCCAGGGGGACCCCATGGTGGGACAGGATGGTGGTGATGGAGACATGGGTGGTGTTGGCTGCTTTGATGAACAGAGCAGGGATGGGATGAGGGCTGGGTGGGCTGCACAGGGAGATGGGAATGGGCTTGTGGGAAAGATGTTTTAGAAGGAAGTTCATCTCCTGGTCATCCAGGTTTGGTGCCCATCTCCTGTTCCTTCTGCAGGCTTGGTACCCCCGTCTTTGGCTGTTACACAGTCTGATCTGTTTTGCATTTCAACTCTGAAAGGCGTTAGTCATTCCTGTGGTTAAATTATTGCCAATTCCACACTGAATTCATTCTTCAGTGCACCAGGGAATCTTAAAACACTGGAGTTCAGGGGTTCTGCATTAGGAGTCCCACAGTCCAGGAAACAATGTGTGAAGGGGACAATCATAATCATTTGGACTCTGTTAAAAAGCAGGATTTGCAGAAGCCCCTTTGCAACTGGGGCACAGACTGAAGGGGTAGTGAAGCAGTGGGAGATTTGCTGGGATGACTTTGGTTTTGTTCCTCTAAGAAATGAACAAAAACTCAAAAACCCAGGGTGCTGGGTGCTAACACTGTGCTGCCCCTCACAGCCATCGAAGCCATGAAGAACGCACACCGGGAGGAGCTGGAGCGGGAGCTGGAGAAGTCCCAGCGCTCGCAGATCAGCAGCGTCAACGCCGACATCGAGGCCCTCCGAAGGCAGTACCTGTAAGACCATCACTGTCCTCTGTTGCTATCTGGCAGGGAGATCATGTGTGGGAGCCCCTTCTCTCCCATTTGATTCTGGTGATGAGTTTGGGTTTATTTCAGGGGCCTCTTCCCTTGGTGCCGACCCAGCTGCATCCATCAGAGCCTCCTGGTTGCCTGCAATCTTTCAGGCTCCAGGTCAATGTGTCCTCATTTCCCAAAATAGCTGCTGTGTGGTCCCCAGAAGTAGCAGATGAGTAGCCAGTGCTGCTTTTCATGCAGCTGCAGCAGCAGGGTCATTCCAAAGGAAGCTCTGAGATTTCCATGGCAGGGCTGTCCTCCCATGGGAACTGAGCAGGGCTGCCTGTCAGCTTTATCAACCTTGATACATCTATGTAAGTTGGGGAGGTGTGGAAATACACCTGGACCTCGGTGCTCAGAGCAAACTTAGAATCCTGGAATGGTTTGGGTTGGAAGGGACCTTAAAGTTCTTCTCATTCCAGCCCCTTGCCTTGGGCAGGGACACCTTCCACTATACCCAGGTTGCCCCAAGCCTTGTCCAGCATGGTCTTGGACATTTATTGGGATGGGGCGGACACAGCTTCTCTGGGCAACCTCTGCCAGGGCTTCACCATCCTCACAAGGAATAATTTGGCATTGGTAGATTTTGATAGCTCTCAGCTCAATTTTTGGAAACCTGAGAAAGTTCTGCCATTTAACCTCTGAGAGAACAAACTCCTGTCCCTTTTGGTGCCCAAGCATGGCTCTGCCAGGAGTGAGAAGAGTTGACTTGCTCTGGGCTTGAGTTTTTTCCCCAAAGGGAATATGCAATCCTCATCCTCGGAGCTTAACTCCTGTTGGATTGTCCTGGGATGCTGAAGGAAGAATGGGCTTGGGGATGTGTGTGTGTGGATAGGGCACTACCCCAGGTGTGTTCTGCAGGGAGGAGCTGCAGTCGGTGCAGCGGGAGCTGGAGGTGCTTTCGGAGCAGTATTCCCAGAAGTGTTTGGAGAACGCCCACCTGGCGCAGGCGCTGGAGGCTGAGAGGCAGGCCCTCCGCCAGTGCCAGCGGGAGAACCAGGAGCTCAACGCCCACAACCAGGTGAGGCTCCCTGCCCTGGGGACCGTGGGCTCTGTGCTGAGCTGTGTCCTTTCTCCCTGTCCCACAACGGCTCTCCTCCTCTTCCCAGGAGCTGAATAACCGCCTGGCTGCGGAGATCACGCGATTGCGGACCCTGCTGACCGGGGAGGGCGGGGGAGAGGCTGCTGGGTCGCCTCTCACGCAGGGCAAGGACGCCTACGAGCTGGAGGTGAGCTCTGCAGAGAGGCACGTGGGTGGGCACAAGTGCTGTGTACCCCAGGAGCATGTCACAGCCCGGGAGCGTGTCACAGCCCAGGAGCGTGTCACAGCCTGAGCGGTGTCACAGCCATCTGTCCCCCAGTCAGCTCTCATGGCTCTGATAACAGCACTGTTATCATGAGCTGCATCAGGCCAGGAGACTCTGGAGTCCTTCCTGATCTCCTCACCACATTGAGCCAGATACTCACTCTTCCTTCTGCAGCCCCTGCTTGTCCCTGGGATCCAATCCGTGCAGAACAGTGGGGACAGAAACTGGGGTGTGCAGGGAGCACATCAGCACTGCAAGCTTGGGCGAGTTCCCAAGAGAACCAGGAGGAGTTTTCTTGTGAGAAGCAGAAGATGGGTGGACCAGAGGCTTTTTGGTGCTGGCATGGGGCTGAGTCTCCAGCCCTTGGTTGACTGCTGCTGGGTACAGCAGGTGTCACACTGTGTCTACTCGGGTGCAAAAATGCTGTTTTTTGTTCCCACAGGTCCTGCTGCGGGTGAAAGAATCTGAAATCCAGTACCTGAAGCAGGAGATCAGCTCCCTCAAAGATGAGCTGCAGACAGCACTGAGGGTAATGCCAGTGGTGGTTCTGCAAATCCTCTTCCTGTGCTCTGCTCCTGAGTGTCTGTGCTTAGATTTCAGTCTATTTACACCTAGATTTGAAACCATATTTAATTTTTCCCCTGAATGTAATTCAATACCCATTTTGGTGTCATCAGTAAAGCATTCCATGCATCAACTTAAGATTTACCCCACAAAGGAGACAGTGTGGGAAAACATCCCTTTCAGCATGACTTCCCCATTTAATGTCACATCAGATCAGATTTAAATGGCACAAACAATCAGTGTTAGAGATCTGCCCAGCCTCACAGCAGTGGAACTGGTTTGCTCTGGACAAGCCAAGGCCATTCTTGGGAATTCTGCTTGAATCCTGTGTCTTGGCTAAAATGAAAAGCCACTAACAGCCCTGTAGCTGAGGGGCTGCAGGCACGGGCAGCACTGTGTGCTGGCCCTTGGCTCTCATCTCTCTGCCTGTCTCCCGGGTCGCTGTTGGAAGCAGCTCCAAGGGGGTGTGTTGGTTGCCCTGGCCAAGCCTGTCTCCCGCTGCCGGCTCTTCTTCCGTCAGCATTTGCCAAGCTCCTCTTGAGTGCATCCACATACCCCCCGGCTCCAGCTGTCTGTCTGGCTCCAGCGGGTTGTTCTTGTTCCCTTGCCAGGATAAGAAATACGCCAGCGACAAGTACAAAGACATCTACACGGAGCTGAGCATCGTGAAGGCCAAGGCAGACTGTGATATCAGCAGGTTGAAAGAGCAGCTGAAAGCAGCCACAGAAGCTCAGGGAGAGAAATCCCCTGTGAACACCACTGTATCGGGATATGGTCAGTCCTCCTCCAGCAGCAGTCTTGGTGTCCCGAGCTAACACGGGAATCCTGGAGTACAAACCCTTGTGCAGGAATGGGTCTGAGTGTAGGACTTGGTCTTCCAACCCAAAGCTGATGGGCTTTGAAAGCCTTCTGGCATTTTGCATCAGGAAAACCTCGTGATGCACGATGCCCAGAAACCCCCTCTGCCCTTGGGGCAGCGCTGAGAGTTGGGCTCATCAGGGCATTTTGCTGGGCTGGGAGGGCAGAGTCCCAGCCCTGTCCTTGCAGGAAGGCAGTGGGCACCAGGCTAATCCCACTTCTTTTGCTTCTTCCCAGATATTATGAAATCAAAAAGCAACCCTGATTTCTTGAAGAAAGACAGATCCAGTGTTAGCCGGCAACTAAGGAATATCAGGTCAAAGGTGAGCTCAGATGTCCTGCCCAGTGGGATGGGAATGAGCAATGCCCAGCATTTCTCTTTGATGGGGATCCCAAATGGGAAGAAATCGGCAGGGGAATAAAATAATTTCCCAGCCACTAGTGCTAGCCTGGATGGCTTTTTTACTGCAAAAGGACTGACTGTGCAGCCAGGCAGGGCCCACTCCCCCACTCCAGACCCTGCTCAGATGGAGGCATGAAGCTGCTCCCTGGTTGGAAAAAAGGCTGACGTTCTCCTTGTTCTTTGGTCTTTCACAGGAGGACTATCCCAGTATCTGCTCCTTCTTTTCAGTTGAAATATAGGTGGAAATGTACACATCATTCTAGTTTTAGTGTTCATCACTGCAAGATTTTTTGTCTTTATGTGTATCAGCAATGTCTGGGTCCTGGGCATATTTAACACACACTTTGTTTGTGTGTTAACTTGGTGCAGATGGCCCTGTGCTTCTGTGGTCCTGTGCTTGCTGTTGATCCCAAAGCCCAGTGATGCTGTGCCAAGCTCTCCTTGGCAGCCAGTTCCATCATGTGGGACCGCAGGGATAAGAAAGGGCAAATAATGCTGATCAGGAGTCAGCATTAAACATAGGGCAGTTGGGAGGAACCTCAGCATGAGCAAACCTGCTTTGCCTCTCACCTGGTGTCTCTTGCTGATGTTTGAAGTGGTTGGGCCCTTGCAGGGCAGGCAGAATACTTTGACTTGGTGACCATGTGGGGAAACACTCAGAGCTCTGCGAGCAGCAGCTCCTCAGCTAGGAGCATCTGCACTGCACCAGTGAGCAGAGAGAGACTTCTGCACATTTTGGGGCAGCCCATACCTGCAGGCCACTCTGATGTTGGGTTTCCCTTCACCACTTCAACTCAGATCGCGTTCTGTGTGGTCCCCATGTATGTTGCTTGGTGGGGAAGGAGAGGAGAAGAAGCAGGGGCTGTGCCAGGGCATCGCTGCGGGACGGGCGGCCGGGGCTGCGCCAGCGCAAATTCATTTGGGATTTATCAGCTTCTTCTTTTGTTTTTGTTCTTTCTTTGTTTTATTTTGCTTTTTCCTTCAACAGTCCGTTATTGAGCAGGTCTCATGGGATAACTGAAATGAACCCGAGTCCAGGTTCCCTGCCACGTAGGTAAACACACCGGCACCCGCCCAGCGCCGCAGCCACCACGGGGCGGCCCAACCTCTGCATGCACTGCTCACACCTCCTGCCAAACTAGAGCAAACTTCTCCTAATCACTGACTGACGGGTTTATTCACTGCTAATTCTTCTTCTGGGCCAAGGGGAAGGGGAGGGGAGAGGTCAGTGTAGCCAAGATCCGTGTGAAACGCAGTCTCTCTGCCTCTTCCCTGGGGGATATGGCTTTTTGTCTTCCTGCTCTTCCCACCCTCACCAACACAGCTCATCATCACCGAGAGGATTTGGACCTGGTGGGGCACGTTTTCCTGTTTACTGTGTTGGGAGCGTGGGACACCGAGTGTGCATGCCTGAATGACTCTGCATGCCTCAGACTAAACTCCAGCACTGTCCAGGTCTCGTAGGAAAACACCTGTTTTGCTGTTAGCCAGGTGCAGGAATAGTCTGAGATGCCTTTAAGTGTACTTCCCATAACAGCCCAGAGCATGTAAAATTGTCTCAGCCACCTCATGTGCAGAGGGAATGCCCTGGACTGCCCCAGTTTCCTTACCCACAGTTGCTGCTTTTTCAGGTTGATCCATGCCTGAGCAAGAGTCTTCCTTACTCAGTAACCTTCTCTTCCTGCTCTCCATCCCTGAGCCTCCAAGGCTTCCAAGCTCATCCAGCAAAAGGAGGGAGCTGATAAGAAATTAGTCTGACTCTAATGAGCTAGATATCTCTATTATCTGGAGAAATAGTGAATTTCCTAGCCTAAGGCAAAGACTGAGGTAGGAACATGTGCAGAGGGAGGTTAGGAGTGGGGAGCTCCAAGCACAGTGGATGGAGAGCCCCAGGAAGTCTGTTGGAAGATCCCTTTGTCACAGATACCATCCTACATTAGTCTCACTTCATCAGGCTCTCCTCATCAGCAACTGAAATGGTTGTGGGACTGCCTGGGGGTTGGATTTGCTGGAATTTGTGCCATCAGGCAGAACAGGCTGATGATTCCTGGTGTCTGTTTCCATCCACTGAGAAATCAGATGCAAGAACTGGAATGCATGAGCAGCTGCCATTTAAAGAGGCCCAAAGTAAACTTCCTTTAGGAAGTGTGTGCTCAGAGACTCTCATCCCAGGGGACTCTGCTGCCCCTTGGAAAGAGAGCACACAGCATTTGGAAATTCAGTCCAATTTAGTGCTTTCATTTCCATGCTGCCTGGCAAAGCCCTTCTGTGTCTGTGGGCCTGTGGGAGGAAAAACATTTCCAGAAATACAGTAACCATGGGAATCTGCACAGCCTTGGGGCAAGTTTATCATGGAGTCCTGCCTTGATAAATACATGGGAAGGAAAATGCAGCCCAAAAGTCCAACCTGGTGCTGTGGTAGAACAGTCCCACAGCCAGGGAAAGGAAAGGAGAAGGGGAGGTGGCTGTCTGATAATAGGATTGTGGAATCACAGAATGGTTTGGGTTGGAAGGGATGAAAAATCATCCTGTTCCAACCCGCTGCCATAGGCAGGGACACCTTCCACCATCCCAGGTTGTTCCAAGCCCCATCCAGCCTGGCCTTGGACACTTCCAGGGATCCAGGGACAGCCACAGCTTCTCTGGGCACCCTGTGCCACGGCCTCACGGCCCTCACAGGGAAGATTTTCTTCCCTATATCACATCTAACCCTGCTCTCTGGCAATGGGAAGCCATCCCCTCTTGTCCTGTCACTCAGCCTCTCTCCAGAGTCCATCTCCAGCTCTCCTGGAGCCCCTTTAGGCTCTAGAAGGGGTCCTGAGGTTACCTTGAGCCTTCTCTTCTCCAGTCTGAACAATCCCACTTCCCTCATACTTTCCTCCTAGGAGCTGATTTCCATCCCTCCACTCTGTGCCTTTGAAGGTGCCAAGGCTTGGTTTGTAAAGTAAATAATGTTCCAGCTGCAGCATGAATTCCTTGCAAGTTCCAAGGACCGGGCTGGCAGGCAGAGCTGTGGGGTTGGGACAGGCAGTGGGGCACAGAGGGGCAGAGCCCTGGCTATGGGGGCTGTTTTTAGGGATGGGAGGTGGCTGTGCCTCCTCATCTACAGGGACAACTCCCCACCTAATGCTTTGCTCTCCTCAATCTCTTGTGCCACAGGTTTGGGGCTGCAGGAAGGAGGGTGCTGGCATTAGGCTGGTGCATCCCCTCAGGCTGGTTTCAATTTAAAGCTGTCCTGCAGGAGTCAGGCAGTTTGTTCCTGGGTTTCTGCCCCTCTCAGCACTGTGCTACCGAGTCCCCATGTGTAGCTGATGGATTGTACAATTCCAAATGCCAAGGGGCTGCTGGCCAGCTGAGAGTTGTGCCTTGAAATCTGGATGCTGCATCTGAATTGGATCAGCCATCAGGGCCTGCCAGACCTGAGCAGCATTTAGGAATCCTCTGTCTATCCGTGGGCTATTGAGGCATCTTTGGCTTGGGAGAGTCCCAGGGTGGGATGAGAGAAGGGGTGGGATGGTCGCTGGCAGCACACAGCAGTTTCCAGGGTTTCTTGAGCAAATTCTGCATGGAGTGGAGCCAGGACTGTCCCCGTGGGTGCTGTAGTGGTGTGGGAGACAGGGAAGGACCAGCCTGCAGGTCCTGCTCAGCATCCTGGGGCTTCAGCATAGCAGATCCCAGCTGGCCTGCCTGGGGCTCCCCTCTTTGGAGCTGCCCCATGCAGCAGTGCCCTGTGAGCTCCGGGGCCCATTCCCCAGTCAGCTAATCCCGCTTGCAGCATGATGTGCCTCTCATCCGCTTCTGGTTCATCACCTGGTTCATCTGCAATCTCACCCTGTCTCGAGGCCCTGCCCACCGGTAACAGCCCTCCATAACCGTGTGTTCTCTCTCAGCATGTCACTAATCCTCTGCCCAGGAGCCCATCCCTCGCTGCCACGTCTGTGCCCGGGCATCGCTCCCTCCCCGCGCGCCGCCCGTGCCCCAACATCTCTGTCTTTTGTCTCTCCCAGAGTCTGAAGGAAGGCCTGACTGTGCAAGAACGCCTGAAGCTTTTTGAATCCAGGGACTTGAAGAAAGACTAGTTCTCCCCGCTCCGCTTGACCACGCGCACCTCCCAGCTTGAGGCAGCACAGCACCAGCACCGTTTGTCTCTCGTTCCTTACGATGTCCTCGCTGTCGTTCGTCCTGACGCCCCGACGGGACCCGGCGCCGCGGTGGCGGTGCCCCCCTCGCCTCCCCGGCTCCTTTCCCTGCTTTGAGATGCTCCAGAGACTCTGAGAGGGAGAGGAAGGGATTGGAGTGGGGTTTCCCCCCTCTCTCTTCGGCGCTTTGTAGGAGAATCCTTTCTTTACTGTAAACCATTACACTAAGTGTCAGTATTAAGGCTCAGTAGCCTGTTAATAAGCTATAGCTCTGTCGGGAAGAGCGAGCAGGGCCTGGGTGGTGTCAGCCAGACCGAGCTCTTACTGCTGTCTAGAGACCCCGTGCTCAGAGCACACCAGGAGCCTGATCTAACCATTGATCTCGACTGCATTACTTGCACCTACAAGGGGGGAAAGCCGGGGAAGCTGCCGGGGAGCGCGAGTCCGCAGCCTGGAGGTACAACACTGACATCTCGCTGGAGAAGGGTGCAAGAAGTGATCCTCCTGCCCCGTGACTGTGCCGTATCCTGAATGTAGGTGCCACCGAAGCCTGGCAAGCTTTGGTGGCTGCCAGGTGGTTATGGATGGGGAGCTGCAGCTACTGAAGTGCACCATCGAGTCCACCCCGTCGGCGCGTCCTCGCTCCCGTCTCGCTGGTGGTCGGAGTTGGTGTTCCAGGGGCCGAGCTGTAAGATCACTTTCTTGCCTCTGTTAGATCAAGCCCAGCACTCTCTTTTGGTTTTTTTTGTTTTTGTTTCTGTTTTTTTTTTTTTTTGCTGTTACTCCCTTCCTCTCATTGAATCTCGTGTATCCCAGGGTCTGTGCACATGTGAAACTCCCTTTTCCTAGTGAAAGGAAACTAGAGTAGAAAGTAGAGCCAATATTGACTGAAAATGCACAGTGCTCAATGCATATAATGCTCATTTTTTACCAGCTTCTTGAATTCAACTCTTCTTGTCAGCAGGGCAGCTCCTATTTTAATTCTTTAATCTTTTCCTGAAATAAAGATCTCAAAACCAGTATGTGCTTCAGACCTTCTCAGTCCTAATAGCTTCTGTATTTAAAACATACAGTTTAGCACCGTGAGACAGACAGATGCATACAAACCAAGGGATGAGGAGCTGGTAGCACTACATGGTCACAGGTAGCTGAGCAGAGGCTTCCTAGAAGAAGCCTGTGCTGCTTTGCAGGTGTGGAGCTTCATCCCTGGATAAATCTCAAGATGCCACCTGGAAGGTCACCAGGGCTGAAGGAGACTCTGGCACGTTGGCTTCCCAGCCTGGTTGGGATGTGGAAGATAGCCTGGCCTTCATCCAGAGCAAAGCTTCCTCTTGTCCTTCAGGCACTCAGCCAAGGCTGAGGCCAGCAGCTCCCAGTGCTTTCCTGCTGGTTCTGGGTCTGGTGGTTGGTACAGGCACAGCTCTCAGAGGCCCACCGGGCTGGTGAAGCCAGCCCCAGTCCTGCCAGGCTGGACCAGAGCAGCTGCTGGAGTTCTCTTCATCCTCCTAGGAGCAGAATCTCTTTTTTCCAGCCACGAGACCTTCAGCAGGACATGTGTTACTGAACCACGGTGGGAGTCAGGCTCTTGTCCAGCTTGGCACCTCACAGCAGGACTTGGCAGCTGGTGCTGCCCAGAGGAGCCCTGCTTGTCCCCAGGCATGATGCAGGGGGCAGAGCAGCTGTTCTGCTGGGATGCTCTGCGTGCCTGGGTGTGCATGGAGGGCCTGGAGGTGGGAGCAGGGTAGGAAAGATGCTCAACCTGTTGGACACAAAGCCTTTCCCTCATCAGCAGTGCTCTCAGGTGTGTGGGTGTGCAGCCAGGCGCTGCATGTGAGTTCACCACAGCACTCCCATGGTCTGGGCTCTGGAGAACCTGGGCTGTTCCTACCACGTCCCACCTGGATCACCTCTCCAGCCACTTCATCCCTGGCTGCTCTGGCTGCATGGTGAGCTCTGATCTCCTGGCAGAGGCCTGTGAGGCAGCCTGGATTTGGGATGGCACGTGGGCCTTGTCATTGTCATTGCTCTTCCCTTGCAGGATGTCACTGGCTCTAGGAGAACCCTCCTCCTCCTCTTCTCTTCAGACTTGGGATGGGATTTGGCCCTTTTTGGCCAACCAAGCAGAACATTCTGATCTCCTTCTCACCATGTGGACCCTGCCCTTTCTGAGATTCCCCAGCAAATCCTGCTCATGTGCTCCCGCTTGTAGGAGCAGATGTTTCCATGGGGAGTTGGGCTCCTCTGGAAAAATAAATGGAGAATCTTGGTCTGCTGTACAGACAGGGCTGAGCAGTGGCCTTGACCTCATCAGGACCAGCTGCACCCCCTGGGGCAGTGCTTGGGAAGGATGTTTGGGGTGTGTTTAGGGTGGGAGCTGAGAATTCTGGGGGTCACTGAGAGGAAGAGGAGGGAGGAAGGTCCCTTATGCAGCCAAATGTTCTGAACCCCTGCTGAGGGTTCTGGGCTCACTCTGGTGAGTCTGAGCATCTCTCCAAGGCAAGGAGCAGCACTTTACCTGCCTTTACTGTAAAGAAAAAGAACCTGCAGCACCAATAAACAGCCCCAAACTGAAATATTCCTGCAGAGCCCAGTACTTGAAAATAAAGGGAGAAGTCCTTTAATTCATAGCAATGATCCTCAGTTATTCTCCTGCTTCTTCCTGCTCCTGACTTCATCCATCTTTTGGGATTAATCAGTGGCTATTTAAATTAGACAGCGTGTGGGCAAGCTGCTGCATGCTGCATCACTCCACACTATTATAGCACCAAAAAGGGAGGTTTGGGAGAACTCAAGTGCAGCAAAGGCACAGGTCTTGGAGCCTTGTTGGCTCCAAGTAATCTTATTTTTCCTGAGTAAAATTTTCCTCCCATTTGCATCATCTCCCCTGAGCCAGACTGAATCCTTCTTTAAATGTCACCTTTTCTCATGTATTAAAAAAAGAAGTAAATTGTGTTCATTTGTTTCAAAAATAGAACTGCTTAGAATTGGTGCTGGCTTGCAAACCAGAAAATGCCCTTTTTTTTGGTACCAGAGAGCTGGGCTGCAGCAGAAGTGCTCACATTTTGTACCTACGCTATTTGATGGCACTTCCACAAGACCTTTGCATATTTGTCCCGGTTTGGATACTCAGTTTGTTGTGGACACTCAAGCACACGCACACTCGCTGTGGTCTGCCTTTGCTCTGTATTTTTTCTCATTTTTAGGTAAAGAAAAACTTTCTTATTCTCCTCTTTTTTAAAAACAAAAGTAATTTAATACCTGTATAGAATTCCAAGTGTGCAGTGTAAATATTTATTCCTCAGCAGTTTGCAGAGGGTTCTCTTGTGACTGAGTTGTGGGTTTGATTTTTAAGGCTTGTTGTAGCACAGAGGCCCCACTTGTGGGTTGGGAGAGGAGGAAAGAGTGTGATGTGTCCAACCCACCCCATCTGCCCTGATAAACTACTTTTTTTAGGGGTTGAGGACTGTTATAAATACCTTTTCAAACCTTTTCTGCTGTTCTATGCTTTTAGCTTTGAAGGTACCTGTCTGAAGATTGTGTACAATCTGTTTGACCACTGTAACCTACTTTGCTATAGATTTGGGGTATTTTTTTCCAGTCAGAGGACTCAATAATCTTGTGTTTGATAGCAGCATCAACGCTGTGCATGTGCAAACTGTGCCCTGTTGTTCCAGAGAGCAGCAACAACTCCCTGCCAGCCACAGCTGCCCTGCACACACCCACATCCCACGAGCTGTAACTCACTGTGTAACTGCAAATGCAGTGGAACTACAGCAACAAGAGCCACGGCACTGCTGCAGACACGGGGAAACAACAACCTCAGCGTGAGGCTGCTGAGGAAACAGAGGGTGTGGGATGTACTAGAGAAACCTGACAAGTTGGTACCAGCTGGACTAACCCAGCTGGCTCTGAACTGGTGAATAATGGGTGCAATTAGCATTATTTTCTTCATGCTTTCTACACCCTGTGTGCAGGACAGGAGTGCTCACTGTTTGTTCTCCCCTAGAGAAAGCAAAGCATGTAAAATACTGGAGACTATGGTAAGTAGGAAGCAGGAATCCTCTGGCCTGGCCCGTGTCCCCCTTCCTGGAGTTCTGGATGACTTGAGAGTTTAAAGAATCACTTGGAAGGATGGAGGTTTGGGGAAAGGGAGGGGAGGAAGCTCTGAGGATGAGGGTGGTGTCTGATGTGGCAGTTCAGGTATTCATGGCCAGTCTTCCTCAGTGGCCTGGGAAGAGCTCGGCCTTGGCTCTGTCCGGGCAGAGCTTCACCCGCCTGCCCAAGGATGGGGACTCGTTCTGGGTCACATCTGGGCACTGTGCCCTGCCACGTGTGCCTGGGAACAGCCCAGGGGCCTGTGAGCACCGAGGGTGAAGGAGTCCTTGCCCAGAGCTGTTGCTGTGATGATGTGACAGAGCAGCCAGCCCTCAGCTCCAGCTGTGACAGACCAGCAGTGCTGGGATGCTGCAGCCTCAGGGCTCTCACACCCCATCCTTTTCCCCTGCAAAGGGGAAGGGTGTGGAAGGCTCCTGTTTCTCCACGTGTGTGAGTTCTGTCTCCTTCCCTTCTCCCTTCCACTCCCAGTTTATTCCAGTGCTTTTTTAAGAGCCACCATTCCTGATCAACTGCTTGCTGTAATAGAAACGTCACTTTTTCTCACTGTATTTATTCCTTACAAACCTTGTGTGACGTGCTAGGCTCCCCTGGATGTAGCTGATCATTTTTACTTTGTAAATATAATTACTTAACTTTACATTAACTATATGGTAATAAACTATTTTTGCACCACCCTTTGCATGCCGTGTGTAACAGGTTTCTATTTCTAAAAAGAAGGAAGAATAGGGCAGAGGTCAGCACATGAAAACGGAGATGTTTGTTTTTATGGCTGCATTTCACATAGGAAATGTAAACAGGCAACACTTTGACAGCAATAATATATTAAGTATTTTAAATCTAGTGCTGCTGAATGGGATTTACTGGAGAATGACCTTCCCCAGATGCTTACATACAGGTAACATCATTTTCTTTCCCCCATGCAAACTTCCTCAGAACAAATATAAAATCTGGGGATGTCCATGTATCATAAATATCTTAATAAGGATCTACAGGAATTAGAATTCAAAAGTCAGATGAGGCTGTTGATGTTTTCTGTGAAAATGTTTTATTTAACAGTACCAGTCACAACACTACTGGTAACAAAAATAGTAACAGAATATAAAAATCTCTTTTCATTTTGAGCGATATTAAGGCATTTTCTATTCAGAATAAAACAATTCTTACATAGACACAATTTCAAGTTTGAAATTCTTAGGTTTACATCATCTTTGTTCCACACTGGGCTGTGGGAACAGAGATGTCACCTTCCCCTCGCTGTCCCCAGGCTGGTGCAGGGCACAGACCATGACACGGTGTCCTAACACCTGAAAGAATTTCTGAAAGGGTTTCCAGAGCCCACCTGAACTGGGTGGCCCAACTCTGGCTCTGCTCTCCAGATAAATACTGATCCCAAAGAATAATTTCTCTCATTTCCTTCCAGACTTCCCTACACTTCCTTGCTGGAAGAGAAGCTGTCATTACCATTTGTGCTCGATGGTTTTACACTGCAGCTCTGCTAACCTTTAACCAAAAGAAACATGTACACAATCAAAACTTAAAAATTGTTGCTATTTCCCACCAATTTTCTTTTACCAACTTTTAACAATTAATGCCAACAAGAAATGTAACCAAGGCACTTAATCTATAGAAACGCTTAACTCTGCTGTAGCCCTCTTATCTCTCCCTTCTTTATCAGTATAGAGGAGCCCTTGGGCTACAATTCCACTTGGAATTGGCTGTAATTCCATTCCATATCCTGAGCTGGAAAATGTTCCTTTTACCACTGAAACACACGCTCAGCACTGTATGAACACACCTGGTCTGCACCAGGGCACAGCAACGAGCTTGCCCAAAGTCTTAATGCCTATGGATGCAATTCTGTCACTGTCACCCTCAACCAAACACTTGTGCCATTCCCTCTAGCACGGGAATGACCCACAGCAAGGGATCTGTGGCATTTTGGGGCAGAGAACACTTCGCTTCTCAGGAGACATTTACCAAAGTTACACCCAGATGGACAAAACAACGATAATAATAAAATCTGTGGGTGTTATCATGCTCCACTAGCCCTGTGAGGCAGCTCAATCATTTACTGCCTTTCGGAAAAAAAATGTAATTAGCAGGATTGTACTCCTCCCAAATCCTTTCAAACTCATCCTGAAAAGCCTTCACATACTCGGCGTCCTCCACCACCAGCACATTCTCCCGGTTGTTCTGGATGGCCTGGGTGGTCCAGTTGAGGGAGCCTGTGATGAGCATCCTCCGGTCCACGATGGCGAACTTGTGGTGCATGTACCCGCTGTGCTGGTCGTGGCGCACCTGGATCCCTGCAGAGACACAGAGGCGGCTCAGGGCTCGGCGGGGCCGCCGCGGGCTCGGGGCCTAAGCCGCGCCCCGCAGCAGCCCCGCAGCGGCCCCGCAGCAGCCCCGCAGCAGCCCCGCGCTCACCCGCGCGGCGCAGGCGGCCGATCTGGGAGCCGTGCAGCCCCATGAACTGCGCGTCCGTCACCAGCCGCACCCGCACCCCGCGGCGGTGCAGCAGCTGCACGGCCCGGGCGAGCTGCGGGCAGGAGAAGGAGAACAGGCAGAGGTCGAGCGAGCGGCGGGCGGAGAGGAGGCGGCGCACCAGGCGGCTCAGGGCGGTGCCGCCGCTCGGCAGCGGGCACGGGCAGGGCCGGGCGGGCGCCCCGGGCTCGGCAGCCTCGGCCAGCAGCGCCTCGATGCAGCAGGGCTGCGAGGGGAAGAACAGCACCTCCCGCACCGGCCGGGCCCGCCGCCAGGCCGCCACCGCCAGCGCCACCGCGGTCACCGCCGCCGCCGCCAGCGCCGCGCCCCGAGCGGCCCCCGCCGCCCTCATGGCCCGGCCCGGCCCGGCCCGGCCCGCGCAGCCGCGGCGGAGGCGGGCGCGGCCTGCGGGGAGGAGCGGCCGCAGCACGGGGCCGGGCCGGGCTCCGAAATCCCGGCCCCGACCGTGCCCCGGGCTCCCAAGCCCCGGCCCCGACCGTGCCCCGGGTTCCCAAACCCCGGCCCCGACCCTGCTCCAGGCTCCGAACCCTTCCCCGACCGCCGAGACCTCCCCGGTACCGCAGCCCTGACAGCGAACCCTTCACCACACACCGAGCCCTTGCAGCGGATGCTGCGAACACGCAACACATCCTTTAATCACAGAATGGTTTGGGTGGGATGATCCCAAAGATCATTCACTTCCCACCCCATGCCATGGGCAGGGACACCTTCCACTATCCCAGGCTGCTCCAAGCACTGAGCACTCTGGCCCTGGGCACTTCCAGGGATGCAGGGGCAGCCACAGCTTCTTTGGGAACCTGTGCAGGGCCTCACCACCCTGACGGGAAGGAATTATTTCCCAATATCCCATCTAACCCTGCCCTCTGGCATTGGGAAGCCATTCCCTCTTGTGCTGTCCCTGCAGGCTCTTGTCCAAAGTTCCTCTCCAGCTCTAAGGTCTCCCTGGGTCTTCTCCAGGTGAACACCCCCAGCTGTCCCAGCCCGGCTCCAGAGCAGAGCAGCTTTAACCCTTGGAGCATCTTTGTGACCTCCTCTGGACTCGCTCCAGCAGCTCCACATCCTTGTGATGAGATGGGCCCCAGAGCTGGAGGCAGCTCAGCAGGTGGAGTCTCACAAGGGTGGAATAGAGGGCGACCATCACCTGCTGGCCCCTGCCGGGCTGAGGGGACAGGGGTGGCACCGCTGGCACCAAAAGCCTTGTCCGTAAGGGCAGCCAGCAGTGACCCGGCACTGGCTCCATCACACGGCAGCTGCAGCACTCACCGCTCCCAGCTACACGCTGCTCAGCCAGGCAGAAATCGCACTGGAATAAAGAATTATCCCGCCTCAATCAGTTTGTCTCTGAGGCGTATCGTTTGGAGGGAAGGAGAGTGCTGAAAGATGTCTGCAGACATGATTTTTTTGTTAATTAAGTTGTGCACATTCCAGATCTCGCTGACGGCAAAGGGAGCGCCCGTGGCCTCAGCTGCGAGCTGCAGGAACCTGCCCAGGCAATCATTTGGTAATCCCACGCCCAGATGTGTTCTGGCAGGCAAGCACAGCTGGGCTGTAGGTTCACTGACTTGGCAGCTCTCCCCCTTCTCTCCTGTGGGCATTTTGTAAGTGTTCAGTTAGTGGTTTCCTTGCCCTGGCTCAAAACTGAGTCTGCTTGTCCATTGTTTCAGGTCAGGATGGAGAGGGACGAGCGTCGTGCACGACTCACCAAGAGCAAGGGAGAAGCAGCAGCCTCAGGCTCGACCTTCTGCTCAACCCTTTTGCTGTTTGGGAAGGAACCACTAGGTTAAGTTTTGATGCTGGATTTCTTGGGAGAGCTGTTTTTTTAAAAGACAAAACCAGTTCAGCAATCAAGGTCTCAATGCCAAATGACGTCTCACCTGCTCTGTTACACAGCTCTGGACTGGCCCAGAATCACCTTAAAATACACTTTACTAGGTCAGGCTACAAGAAAATACAAAGAAAAAATACCTGTATTAAATTCTCTGCAGTAGATCTAGGCTAAAGATGCAGGAATTTTCTGGATCAGCTGCTGCTTTCCCCCACCACAAGACACACACACACAGAAAAAATAAACACAAAACCAGGCTTTGTTCATTTTACAAAAATAGCTCTTATGAGATTTAATGCCTGTCTCCATTTTACAGATGTTCCAGACAAAAATCAACCTCCGTATTTTATATGTAAGAACAGAATTTGTGACAAGCTGGAACATCCTCTCTGAGCTTGAGTGAGTGTAGAAGGTCACCTGGGTAAAACCTGCCTTTAGCTTGTTCAGAATATCTGTGGTAACGTCAAGTGTTCCCAATAATGATCCAGAAAAACAAAAAGAAAAGACATAAACCCCAGACTTCACAACAGAAACAGAGATTCCTTACAGAACAGCTAAGGAATATCTGGTTAGGTAATTAAAAAATGCACCAATGTTTTCATGAACTATTAAGCAAAAATGGCTACTATAGAGTTATATAAGGGAGCACCTACAGGTTGAATCTCTTCTGCTTTATTAGAAGCTAAAAAAGACAGAAGAGAACCTTATCCTGGCGAGGTTATCTTCATTACCTGGAAGTTCTGCAACCACAGGCAAAACAAGGCGAGTATTTTCCCTTCTGAGAGGCAAGCAGGCTGCATTTTGAAACTTCTAATTTTACAATTCGCCCTCCCAGACAAGATTTCCAGAGCAAATGCTGAAACTGTCTCAAGTTAAGATATAAATAAATAAAGAGGAGTGACAGGACTCCCATGGGATGTCCTGACTTATGCTACAGCAGAAAATAGTCTCTTAAATCTGAGCACGAAGTGGTTTGAAATAATTTACATGTGATCCATACCCTGTGACGTGCCTCTTATTTTTGGTTCTTGTTCTCTCAGGCATTGAGGAGATTTATGTGGGATTTCAGTGAGATTAACCATATGCACTCCCAGGAGTTCTGGATGTTGTCACAGGCCTGCCAAGGAACCTAAAGGTGAGGCCTGCTGCCACACCATGATGCTTAATGAGGACAGGATGGGATTTTAATTAATTTAGCTGATTCTTTGAGCGTTGCTGAGTTTTAGTCTTGAGTGTGCACGCCTAGATTGAGAGCTGAGTTCCTGGAGAGACAGCAGCACTGTGGATTAGCACTTATTAGTCCAGTCTCACAGCAAGTAGAAAAGACTCAAGTCACACTTCAAG